TTTAATATGATGTCATTTTTAACAGAATTGCGATTCATTTAAACTCTTGAAAGAAGCTCAAGAAATGGAGTATGTGAAGTATATCAATATGAAGTCCTTCGAGCCATGGCCCCTCTATCGAGTAACCCTTCCTTTCACCCCATCCTCATCACCTTTGTATGAACTGTATGGCCACCTCTCCGATCCTGTCCGGATCTTCACCATTTCCGGCGAGTTTTCTGGGCGCAAAATCCCATTGAGTGAGGATTTACTCAATGCTCGGATGGTCATGGAGGCGAAGCTACCTAATTTGCTAAAGAATGTTGAGGATGAGGGTGTTGTGGCTGATTATGACGCCCAATTCAACGACCCTGATTTTCGTAATGGTATCGTGACATGCGCCGCGCTCTCCCTTGATGGTCACCGTGTAGCTCTTGGTTTTGGTAGCGGTGTCATCGAACTCGCTGATATCGACCATCAGCACACAATTTCCCGATTCCAGCTCGATCCACCCAACCATCCAGTCTGGATCGAATTTGTCCATGGCAGCCACCGAGTTGCTGCTGAGGACAATGAGGGGAACGTCACCATCCTTGGCCATGATATGACTTCCATTAATATTGGTACTCTTCCCAACAATCCTCTTCCTGCTGTAACTCGAGTATCAGATAATGGATTATTTATCGTACAGGTTCCACGGAACGCTGATAGTTCTTGGCATGACAGCATGACCCTCATATCCATTTCAGGTGACCTGCACATGCAGCACCTTGCACCCCCTACTTCCAATGGTTTCACTCCAACTTCCAACCCTCCTATCTTAGCCTCCAAGTCTTCTACTAGGTCCTCTGCATCCCTAGTGATTCCTCATCGTCGCACGCTTGGGTTTTCTCCGGGAGCACATTATCTCGGCGCTTTCGATGGCCTCAGTGCTTTCGCCTGGTCGACAGGTTCGGGTGAGCTCATTGCGAGTTATCGTGTGACAGATTTCAAGCTTTGGATCATGAACCCTGCTGTTCCCCTCGCCCGCTCTTATCGCATCCCTAATCCTGTATCCACTCAGCCTACACTTTCCTTGACAGAGGGTGAAGCAGCAGATATACATCATTCTGAAACACATGCAGGGCATAACTTGGACGAATCCTGGATCAAGTGCCCATTTTATGTTATCTTAGCCAAGGAGGACATCAATTTCATAATACCGCGGTATAAAATCCATTCATCTGCAGCCGGAAGAACCCCACTTTTCGGAACTTTCGGCTCCGCTGGGCTACCAGTGTACTTCGATGGCGAATTTGAATTCTTTATTCCCAAGGAGTATCGCCTAGTTAACTTTTCTGGTGCCGAAGGTCTAGGCGCTTGGTATGGTGATCAAGTGCCATCTGATCCTATCGATCTGTACAGCCCTCGGTCCAGCAAAGATGGGACTTGAATTCTCTTGCAAGGCCGACAGACAGCTCCAATTGTTGTTGATCTTAGTCAAGTCCTTTAGGATATTTGTGGTCAATTGCAATATCTTCTCATTTACCTTCCACGTTCTATCCACTATCAGAGGGGGAATTGCCACGAAGTTTCACTAGGTCGCCCTTCCATCTTTCTGGACTTCCCCCGGATGAGGTTCCCTTTCCCTATGGTGCAGTGGGTATAAATACGGGCTTGGAGACTTCAACGGATCTATGACCATTCCTTCCTTGCACTGTCATTTAGTCCCAGGTCAGACAACATGAATGCTCATCAGCGTTTGTGACCCCAGACTTTTTGATTTTGCGCTTTCCATAGTTCCTTGATTCCCTTTCACTCTGCATCAGAATGTATCTATCTGTCCATTTGAGCCAACCTGCACCACTAAAAGGCTTGGCCGAAATGGATCACTCTGAACGTATTAAAAAATCGGTATTTCTTTTGCCAATTTCCACCGTTTCGCCCGGCGTTCATCCATACAAAGAACCAACGTTGTATAAATGCTGAGATATGAGCATTTAGTGCTACAAGATATCGGGACAAAAGTGAACGATTTTTTTGCATCGCGTTAAATAAAGTCAATGTATGGGCAACCCCATCCCAACTTAGTCCATGAACTTGTGAGGCTTGAAGAGTACCTCGTTCCACCTTGGCTTGATCACACTGAAACCTGGGGCCAGCGAAAGCTGCAGAATTTGTGCCGCATTCGGATTTATCCCAAGTCTGTTGCACAAAGAAATGGGATAGGTGTTAGAACCGGCGGAAACAGACGACTCCGGAGTGGAATTGGAGACTTAGCGTGGAGGGACCTTGGCCTCAGCGACTCAGGCGGAGCGCTGTGCCATTGCTGTTTGTCCATTTGGTCCTTAATTTCACAGTAGGTGAGCAGGAAGTCTCTAGGGGGCATTTCAGGTCGATTTCGGACTGAACCAAAACGAGTATGTACAAGCGCCGATATATATAATGGAAGGGGCAAAAGCACAAGGAGAACAAAGGGTAACCGAATCGGAACGAAGACGTCCGAACGGGAACAAAGGGTAGAAGGAGCGGAGCGGTACCGAAGGTCATAAGGCAGGACCTGTGATACATCCGAAAGGAGGTAGGAAGGGCGAGGCAGGAGGATGAGGGGAAGTGGGGATGATGACTAACTGGCTAGAATAGGAAGAAGCAGTAGTCCAAATAGGGGTGAGGGGAAAACGCGAGAAATACATTACAAGCGGCGAGAGTGCCGAAGGCGATCCGTGAAGCTCGGGGGTTGCAGAGCTTACGGAGGTTGTGGAGGCGGGGTTGAAAGTCCGAGGGATATTGGCAATGGTGTTTACGTAGTATGAGGTCACCAATGCAATGGACTAAGACCGAGGTGGAGTCAAAGTCCAAGGTAGGGACTATGACGGAGGCTCGGAGCAAGGTACGAGCGGTGTCCAAGTGCGAAGTATGGAACAGCGGTGGAAGGTCGTAACTTGGCGGAAGGGTGGCAGAGGAGTAACGGAGGGAGGAGAGAGGGGACAGGTAAGGGGAGGAGGAGTGGCGGAGAGGAGAGTAGTCAGGTCTGAAGGTGAGTATCGGAGCGGACGGGGATAGGGTCGGAGAGGTAAGGAGGAGGTGTGTTGCCAGGACCGAAGGTGAGTATCGGAACAGCAGCGGTAGGTTATGACTCCGGAGGTGAAGAGGGTGGAGGTCCGGAAGTCGGGTCAGGGTCGGGTATGCACGGATATGACAATAGGTATCCTTAACCCCTCCCACCCAGTAGCGGTTCTTGATGACTTCATCCCAGAATCATGCATGCCAGGAAAGAGCAACATTTTATCCAACTGTTTATTGTGTTCAGAACCAGACACATCAGGATGCTCGACGTACCAGCACTGGCCTGGGGTGGCCATCGATCCATATACTCCACCCAATCCTCGCAAGCTCTATGTACAGAATAACACATCTGCACAATTTAGAATAAAGTTATAGAAGGTGGGTGGCCAGGGTCCAATATCTGGAACTGGGAGGGGGCATAATTTTTTCCACAAGTTATAGCTCGTCCCATATTGGCATCTCTGATTTATTGAGGTGCTGATCATGCTATCGCAGCATACAATCCTCCAAACTCCAATGCCATGTGTTCAAACTTGACATTCCTGATTTCGACCCATCATGGCCAGCTGAATCTCCACTGGTGCCTGTCGGCTCTTATCGTTGCCCTTGCTGTGAATGTCTCGTACACACGTGTGGCATGCCCACCAGGCATTGGGCAATGCAGCGCAAGCCATCTTGGCTGTACTTGTGAATTGAGAATGGCAGGCCGCGACTCTGACTGTGCATTAATTAGGATCCGTCTGTTAAGGGTCGCAGCGGTAAGCTGCAACTGTCCGAATCCTGAGCGTTCATCGTATGTGAACGTTTCATGCATGGATCCAAATGGGGAGAACTGGATGATGGCATAAGGGATCATGAGGGATAGTGCAGGGAGGCCGAGGATGGAAAAATTAAACGTTGTAACGGGTCTATCGCCTAGACTCGAGACAGAGAGAAGGGGGAGGGTGATAGTGTGCGCGGGTGTGGTTCGTTGGGCCGGGTTTTGGTCCGTGGGTGCTACTGAGTCTGCAAAAACCTCAAACAAACACTCACCTACGTCTCTCTTGGACGTCAAGGCTGCGTATTATGATGTGAGGGGTCTTAGACGTGAGCAACTAGCTCAGAGGGGGCATTAGGGTCGTGGATGGCGTCTTTGCCACTTGGATGCAACTTCTGCTTGTCCCTTCACGGGTCTATTCAATACTAACTTGTTATGTACAAGTTGTTATCTAGTTTATATATGTTTGAAATGAAATGAATGGACTGGGGGAATGTAAACGGGCCGTTAGGCAACCGTAAATGATGAATATCCAATTGGGAACAAAGAAACAATAAAAGAAATATGAATGAATGGGGAATATATCATAACGGGTCCGAAATGGGAAATGTAAAAGTTAACTCCGCAACGCTTCGCCACAGCGCCCGCCTATCCTCCCGTCAGCGACCTCCTCGTCTCCAGCTTTCCAACGAGCCCCTATTCGTCCCATTTGGTGCAGTACTTGTTGAGATGTGGCCATTGACAGGTGCTGTCAAGACCACGTGAGACTCTACTCCGTGCTGAACCATCCAGGCATGGGATTGCCATTCTGGGAAATGCTCCGGGGGTGAAGAAGGAAGGTAGAGCATCACTATCGGGTGGAAAAATGGCTGGGTTGTATGTGTAGGTATGGAGATCTGGAGAGGGGGTGAAATTGGCGGCGTGGTTGGGCGTGGGAATTTTGCTTGGGGTTGTCGGGAATGATGGGGAAAATATGGAAAAATATGGAATGAGTGTAAGGAGTGTTGGATAGTGATAGAATGAGTATCGTGAGCGTCAGCGGATATGTACTGCGTGTTGGTGACCAAATTCCACAGAATCCGACTTTTTGCGGTACACGGAGTTGTCCCCACAACAACGTCAATGTGCTAACGGCGGTTGACCCACAGCCAGCAGAGGAGTCAAAGGTATTGGACAATGAGGGATTTTTTTCCACTAGATTCTTCCACGATATCTTGAATCATGGGATACCAGCAGGATACGGGAGTGCTAGAATCAGAGTCCATAATGGGCGGAAGGTCCAGTTGATATGCTGCTTGTCATTAGGATCAGAATTTTCAGTACTTTCATGATCCTTCGCTGAATAAGGATGTGTCGAACGCTCATGACGACGGTGCCAGGCGTCGCCTGAATCCTTGTAATGGATGAGATATGCCTTTTGACCCAAAGCGAGGACACCACCCACAATGGCAACACAATCTCTTGTTGCATTGTCTCGATGGTCACCAAATGTCTGCACGGGATCATGCGAGGATGCGCCAAATGCTTGACACCTACAACATAAAAAAAAGCTCGAATTGAGAAGTGGGTGGTGAAGCACAGCATAGCGACATACCATGTCCAGCCAGTTGGAAATGATGCGCCCCAGTTCTTTTCCATATGTGCCACCCCTGTGCCTCCAAAGACTTCTAATCCCACCCCATCGGTACCGATATGCTTCATGTCATAATTTGCCTTCGATCCGGTTGAGAAAATTGCCCAATGCAATGGAAGTAAAGTTTCCAATCTTGAAAGAGCCATGCTGTGAGGACTCAGAATAGGGTGCTCCTGCGATAATGGAACACGATCCGTTATGTCTATGGACACTTTCCAGTGCTCGGAAGAGCTTTCTCTACATGGGATGGTGAGATTATAACGTTGGGTCTTTGGCTCCACGGTGTCACGACCGACAAATCCCGGGGCTCTGTCAGCGGCGAACCAATGCCGATAGGCGAATCCGCCGACCCGAAACCCATCCTAACCAGCCCCCAACCCCATGTCTGGCCCCCTGCCTTACTGCGTGAGACTTGGCCAAGAATCAGAACCTAGACCCTGCCGGTATTCCAACCTTACCTCCAGTTCCTGAGCCCTTGGCGCTCCCGGCATTCAGTCACACCTGCCTTGTCTCCATCTGAACCACACTCATCGCTTCCCGCTATGTGGTCACAGCCATGCCCCGCTTCCGTCCACTCCGCACCCTCTGCCCACTCCGCACCCTCTGCCCATCTCTGCACCTTCTGGCCACTTCTGGTTGCCCTTGACACCTCTGGTCAGGTCAACACTCCCACTCCCCTCTGTACCTCTGTTGGCCTTCATGCTGTCCTTGTGTGACAGTGCTGGCAGATCAACTTCTGTTCGCGGACTTGTGTCGGCACCGCACCGACCCCGCTTATTTGCGGACTTGTATCGGCGCCGCGCGCTGACCTCTGCTTTTCCTCTGGCCATTTGTCACTTGGCAGCTTATCATTCATTCCTTGCCGAGTGCCATTTATTGTTTGCTTCCCTGCCAATATCGGCATTTGATCCCCTCTTTATTGGCACTAGGTTATTGATCTCATTCAGTTATTCATCAATAACCCTTGCCACTTATTGTTTAGTGATCTGTTCCTCCTTTCCAGTTCCCGGGCTCTTGTCCTTATTTAGTTTGACAATTCCCGCTTATCTCCGCGCCGGACCGCGCCGGACTGACCGGCCTTTCTATATTCCCTCTTGCCTATTTATATACCTTGTAAATACTTTCGGGGACCCCAGTCTGAAATCAACTAGAGTACCCCCCCTGTCTGGTCTGAGTCCCTCCTTCTGCAAAGGGGGCTTCCCCCCCTCTGAGTCCGTGCTCGCGGAGTCCGCGTTCCTCCTACAGGTCCGCTCCGCCCGCAAGTCTTGTTTGAAGTCCGCTGTAAGTGTCAGTTTGTAAATACGGGATCTCCCCCAAACGTCAAGCTCAGGGCACAGCGCTCCACCTGAGTCGCTGAGGCCGCGATCCCACTCTGCTAACCTTGGACAGCGCTTCCGGACGCGCCGCATATTTCCGCCCGCATATCCGTGCGCGCGCTCCAACAGACCTCTGCCACAATCTCCGACTCCGACAATATCCCAGCCTCTGACAATAATCCCGTCTCTGACACACGGTGAAGCTTCCAATATTAGGTATGTTCAAAGTATATGGTTGCAAAACTGTCTCTGAATTGGGCAGGGAGTCCACGATATGTTGAAGGTCATCAGGAAATAAATGGAACTCGACCGGCTTGATAGTAGACGAGTCACCAATAGGTGTTACTGAGAAATGGAAATAGTGCTTCCGAGGAGTACCTGATGGCATCGAGTCTCCAAGAGAGCAAAAAATCAGGATGATGGAGAGTCCCACCGATTCGTCTTGTATCCAAGTGTACCAGCCCTCGAAACCGACATATGAAGGGTGAGGGGCATACTGAATCCTTTTGCGCCAAAAGGCGCATCAACAACCATTGCGGAAACAACAGGTCAGCTGCTGTTACAGAAAATCCCCAAAAAGAATGGGGTACGGTGTCAGGGATCAGCAATGACCCTGGACCTTATGCTGGCTGCGCGTATGCGCGTGGGAAGTATGCCGGTAATTCCCGTCTACTCCGCTTACCTAAGCCCCGGTGACCCGGATCATCTCCGGCATTGTTCTGGAACATTCTATGATCACGTGATTCTATCGGCAATCCGTTTGGTTTCCTTATTGCCGGACTCTACATGTATATAGCTGACCCTAAGATGGGGACATCCCTTTCCCCTGGCTTTAATCACAACTAGGTTATTGTCAGGGCACGCTGCCGCCGCCACCTCCTTTCCTTTCGTCTCATCGTCTCATTCTCTCTTCTTTCCCTCTTCTCTTTTTCTATCTTTATACAGACGACCTCTCTCTTTCTTTCCTACACTTGTAGCATGGACGCGCCCGATGCTGAGCACCCTGTAGGGGCACCGCCACACCGGACGCGCCGCGCACTCCTACTTGTACTTCCCCTCCAACACTCGGGATCGACCGCGGAGCCACCCGCGGTAACCCGGCTTCATCCGAAGGTGACGTGGCACTTCCATGTGACCCATTCACACATGTATATAAACTAAGCCGAAGCAGGACCGAAGAAGTAACCTTCTTCTCATTTCCCACTTCAGGCAAGTACCCTAGTTTAGTCTAGCTTCCCACCCTAATAACAATACATTTCCCGCTTCAGCCTAAGAAGCCACACAGGGACGTAAGCCCAAGTGAGGGCTGCCCACTATACGGTCTTACCGCCCCGCTGCTGTCCGGGCCGCTAGCGCTGAGCGCTACACCACTACCTCTGCCTCCCTCAAGCCGTCCCTGACAGTTATTGGAGCATCTTGCACGAGCACGCGCGTCCCCTGACATACAGCAACCATGCGAGTCGTTTGTCACGACCGACAAATCCCGGGGCTCCGTCAGCGGCGAACCAATGCCGATAGGCGAATCCGCCGACCCGAAACCCATCCTAACCAGCCCCCAACCCCATGTCTGGCCCCCTGCCTTACTGCGTGAGACTTGGCCAAGAATCAGAACCTAGACCCTGCCGGTATTCCAACCTTACCTCCAGTTCCTGAGCCCTTGGCGCTCCCGGCATTCAGTCACGCCTGCCTTGTCTCCATCTGAACCACACTCATCGCTTCCCGCTATGTGGTCACAGCCATGCCCCGCTTCCGTCCACTCCGCACCCTCTGCCCACTCCGCACCCTCTGCCCATCTCTGCACCTTCTGGCCACTTCTGGTTGCCCTTGACACCTCTGGTCAGGTCAACACTCCCACTCCCCTCTGTACCTCTGTTGGCCTTCATGCTGTCCTTGTGTGACAGTGCTGGCAGATCAACTTCTGTTCGCGGACTTGTGTCGGCACCGCACCGACCCCGCTTATTTGCGGACTTGTATCGGCGCCGCGCGCTGACCTCTGCTTTTCCTCTGGCCATTTGTCACTTGGCAGCTTATCATTCATTCCTTGCCGAGTGCCATTTATTGTTTGCTTCCCTGCCAATATCGGCATTTGATCCCCTCTTTATTGGCACTAGGTTATTGATCTCATTCAGTTATTCATCAATAACCCTTGCCACTTATTGTTTAGTGATCTGTTCCTCCTTTCCAGTTCCCGGGCTCTTGTCCTTATTTAGTTTGACAATTCCCGCTTATCTCCGCGCCGGACCGCGCCGGACCGCGCCGGACCGCGCCGGACTGACCGGCCTTTCTATATTCCCTCTTGCCTATTTATATACCTTGTAAATACTTTCGGGGACCCCAGTCTGAAATCAACTAGAGTACCCCCCCTGTCTGGTCTGAGTCTCTCCTTCTGCAAAGGGGGCTTCCCCCCTCTGAGTCCGTGCTTGCGGAGTCCGCGCTCCTCCTACAGGTCCGCTCCGCCCACAAGTCTGGTTTGAAGTCCGCTGTAAGTGTCAGTTTGTAAATACGGGATCTCCCCCAAACGTCAAGCTCAGGGCACAGCGCTCCACCTGAGTCGCTGAGGCCGCGATCCCACTCTGCTAACCTTGAACAGCGCTTCCGGACGCGCCGCATATTTCCGCCCGCATATCCGCGCGTGCGCGCTCCAACAGACCTCTGCCACAATCTCCGACACCGACAATATCCCAGCCTCTGACAATAAATCCAGTCTCTGACAGTATTTCAGACTCACTCTGGGCTTGACGCTCCTCCGTCATTCCATTCTGAATTCCCGTTGCGATCCCCAACTCCGTCAATCTGTATGCCCGGCCGATTCCGTCTTCTTTCCCACGGTCGCGCACATCCGCCAACAAACCACTCCCACTGAAGTTGGATCGCGCTCAGTAGGGATTCTGGGGTTCCCTGATGCCATCATGGCTCAAACCCGCATTCTCTGACCCTCTGGGGCCTTTTTGATAGGCACTCAGAATGGGCTTTTAGGTCGCTGGATAACCTCTGGATTCACAACCTCTCATTCTGCTCCGACTCTACCTGGCCATACCACTTTGTGCTCTAGGTTACTCCAATCTTCGAGCCTGAGTGGGGGGCCTCTTCATGTCCTTTCCGATCCCTTATCCAGTCTTCCTGCAACCTCTGTCATCCTTATCGCGACCACATCTGTCCTTATCTGATCTGACTTCCCAAAATCCGATCTCCGTCCGATCTGACCTCTGTCGCGCCGCTAGCACGTCGCTGGCACTCCGAGCCCATGTGGGCATCTCTTCCAAAGTCCTGGAAGTAGTTCAGTTGGGCAACCTTCATTCACTTCAACTCCGGCATCCGAACATCTGGCAAGCTGGCAGTTGATTTCAACTCGCTGCCGCTTTTGCACCTCTGTTCACACTTCCTTGATTCACTCAGTATCCTCTGACGCGCTTGGGATGCGCCTTGGTCTCTACCCGCGTTATCATCGACCTCGGCACCCCATCCCTGCGCCTCTAACCTCTGTTACCAACTCCGCAACCTTCCGCCATTGGATACTCGGTTGTCCTGACTACTGATAACTGGAGGCGCTTCGTGCGTCGCTGGTCTAATCATGGTCAGACTCCCTTATGAGTTGTCACCTCTGTCGACCTCCGGCTTGTCCAGTCTGCTTAGCCTGGCTTGCACCACCTCTGTCCACCCTGTTATGTTTCCCGCTTCACCATCGTGTTTCAATCACCCATTCATTGGGCGACTTGGATATCTGCGGTGTTGTGTGGATTTTCTCCCTGATGCCACGTCTTCAGGAGAGTATCTTGGGCACCCGACGCTTTTCAGCCCGGGGCCACCTTCCGTATTTGCGTGGCATGAGTGGTTAGGAGTCCGGCGAAAGTCTCGGCGAGACTGTACCCGTGCACCTACCCTCAGCCGTTATCTGTTTTCCATAATCCTTGCTACCCTCTGTTAGTCTGCGGACAGTCTGGTCTAGGTTACCAAAGACTACCAAAGACCTCCATGCTGTGCATCCTTGGCTTGAGCAACCAGGATTGCATGTCCGGAAATCAAACCGGGCGTCTCTTCTGAGACTAAACAAATAGTCTGTTCCTTCTTTTTTCTGTTTTCTGTTTCTCTTTTGGTTTGATAATGGTCGATTCCCCAGTTCAAGGGGTATACCCCCGGCTCTGACTTGTCTTCCATTCCGGGATTTCTGTCTCCCGTCATAATCTTGTCTTTCCTTTTGTTCTCTGAATGGTCGATTTCCTTTTCAGGACATGTCGCTCGTTCTCTCTGTTTTCCCTGATTTCTGCTTTCTCTCTGATCTCCGTTTCGGATTCTTCGCTCGCTCTCTCTGATTCCCTCTAACCTACTTTTAGGTTCTCTGCTCTTCCGCTCCGATCCCGTCTCGAGGGCTGATCCCCCTGCTGAGGCTTTTGATCCACCTGCCAATCCCATTCCGTCTCCAACTCTGGTTGCGCTATGCAACACCCTGCTGAAACATCGCATGCTGTTTGTGGGCATAATTGCCGCCAAGCATCTCCTCTGTTCCGTCACCCCATCAGTCCAACTCCGCACATCGCCGTTCATTTCCCGCTTCTGCGGATCTGAACATCGCTTATCGTTTGTGGACACCACGTCGCCAAACACCTCTGTTTTCCGGTGCAATCTCTCTGTTGTCATTCTGACATACCTCGTTGGATGGACCCTGCTCTCTGTTCTGGGACGCCGACTAGCTCACTCAATATGATCCGTTGATCAACGAGTATTGGGCAGTCACTAGGTCTGTGCATTCTGCATTCCAGTCCAACAAAACCGTGCACTGCAGCTGGTGGAACCTTTCCCTGGTTGCGCTCTGAACCCGATTCACCGTCAGCACTTGATTGTCAAGCACCACTATCCCGTCCGCTTGCTAGCTAAGCATTCTGACAAAAGGGCTCTGGCCTTTGCTTGGGCATTCACATTCTGGGATTGTGAGCTATGCTCCCCTCCACTTCGGAATCACTCTATCGCCTACATCGCTTCAGCCGTTGCTGAGCAATTCCGGCCTCTGAGAACTTCCGCTGCCTTCGGGCACCCCTCTGAGAGAAGAGTCGCTCTCTTTTCGCCTTCCGCACTTTTCCGCCACTTCCCCGTCATCCCCTAATCCGTTAACTCTGCCATCAATACCATCAGTACTGCGGCCGTTGCTGAGTACTGTGGTTGAAGGATTTCGTCGCCCTCTGGGCACTCACCTCTGGAGAAGAGCCACACCCTTCTCACCATTCTGCAACTCCACCTCCGCCTATGCCGTTCCGCCGATATGACCACCCTCCGCAGCCTCTGGCGCTTCTGAGCCTTCCGACATTCCTCCTACCTGGGACTGGCCAAGTCTACATAATTCGACCTTGGTGCTGGTACCCGTTGGTACAGTCCACTATAGGCAATAAGTGTTTGACTTCCGCCATGCTCCTTGGTTTGGGATTTACGTTCACGCCTCCGCTTTCACTCTGCTATTGATTGTGGTCTATCACTCCCTGTCATCTCTCCAACCTCCTTGTTCCCTTGGAGTCCTACTCCGTTCCTGGTATTCTGACTCGCAGATAACCTGCTTGTTTGGAATCCTAACTCTGCTACCCCTTGTCACCCTTCCGTCTCTGGTTTCATGTGTTGCACTCTGCACGCTTGAACCTCCGCTCCGCTACTCCGCCTCTGGATTACAACTTGCTGGGCAATCCGCTTGTTGGTATTCCGCCTCCGTCACCTCTGTCTGGACTTAACTGGCTGGTTAGGCAGCCTGTTGAAGTCTCTCCTCAGAACTCTCCACTCCGTTACGAGCTCTGCCTCTGCCTGGAAACTCGGTGTCGTTTGTTCCTAGGTAGACGATGGGACGTCTACCCCAAGAGGGGGATAAGGACGTCGCCAAGTCAACCATTGATGGTCCCGCCGATGTTTTCCGCTCCGCGCCGTCCTCAAAGGCATCCAACCATCTGCGTCTTTCACTCTAAGCCATGAGGATTGGTTCCCTTCACACCTGCAGACGCTTCACCACACCCTCGACATCTCTCTCGAGTGTAATAAGCCTCCCTGAGCATACACGCATCTTTAAAGCCCTTCCTATCAAGGCACCCTCTGGCGATAAGTCCCCTTGCGGACCCGCTCCTCCGAAAGACCTCCGCTGAGGCACCTCTCCCACAACCCCTCAGGCTTGTGACTCTGCAGTGTTCTCCCCTGAACACCAATTTGCGACTTGGTGCATACCACTGAGTTCTCGCCGTTGTTCGCCGCACCATTTCCGTCATTCCTCCCCGTTATGCTGCCAGTGCGGTCTCCAAGCCCTCTCCTACCTCGGATCTGATATGCCATGGTACTAAGACAGCCAACTCACCCCTATGATCCGTTGATCTAGCCGGTTACTGATTGGCAAAGTCGCACACCCAAGCATTCCAGCCCAAATCCACCTGAGCCAACTCCGACACCCGACCCACTGAGCATGCACCATTCCTGGGAGACCTAAGCCATGCTTAGTCTTCACCATCTGCCCCCTGGCCTTTTGGTCACTCTGTCTGCGCCATTGGTCACTAGCCTTCGCTCCCGACCCTTGCCGCTTCTCTGCTTTGCCACTGGTGAGGTTTTGCCGCAACTCCGCAACTCCGCTGTTGGTTAGGTCGCTATCATGCTAGGACAACTGAATCGCCCTCTTGTGATCCGTTGATCCGGATGGGTACTGAACAGCACAATGTCCCTGCTCCTAGCAACCCACCCAACTCAACCTCTGTCGCTTCGCTGGTCACCCGACCTTCAACCCACCATGTGCGCCTCTGATGCCAGGCCCACTATTGCTGCCTGTGCAGTCATTCTGGCAAATTGGGCCATGCCCTTTTCTCAATTCCGATCGCTGGTCTTAGGCCTCTCAGCCTTCGACACCCCTCTGCCTCTTGGTCCGGAGCCACGTCGGCCCCGAATCACCCCTCCGACTTTTGGCCTTGAGCCATGTCTGCCCTAGACCTCTGGGCCCTGGCCATTTTGGCCTCGGACCACTTCCATTTTCCGTACCACCTTCTGTTTCTGATTTCCTGTCCATTTCTGTTCACCACCTCCGTTTCCAACCTCCGATTTCCGCTCTCCAACTCCTGTCACTCATTTTTCTGTTTCTGATCTAATCTGAACCTTGTTCTGCCATTTTGTTTTTCTGTTCAGACCTCTGTTCTTGTCTTCCCTGGCCATCACCTTCCCGCTCTCCGACCAACCTCTTCCGAATTTGGGCATCCGCTTCCAACCTTCCGAATGCAACCATGTGCACCATCGCAGTGGTAATCCGATTAGCAGCCAGACACATCCATACATCAGCTGAGCCTCTTGGGTCTTGGCCTTCAAGGGTTCAGGCCCTAAGAGGGGGATACTGTCACGACCGACAAATCCCGGGGCTCCGTCAGCGGCGAACCAATGCCGATAGGCGAATCCGCCGACCCGAAACCCATCCTAACCAGCCCCCAACCCCATGTCTGGCCCCCTGCCTTACTGCGTGAGACTTGGCCAAGAATCAGAACCTAGACCCTGCCGGTATTCCAACCTTACCTCCAGTTCCTGAGCCCTTGGCGCTCCCGGCATTCAGTCACGCCTGCCTTGTCTCCATCTGAACCACACTCATCGCTTCCCGCTATGTGGTCACAGCCATGCCCCGCTTCCGTCCACTCCGCACCCTCTGCCCACTCCGCACCCTCTGCCCATCTCTGCACCTTCTGGCCACTTCTGGTTGCCCTTGACACCTCTGGTCAGGTCAACACTCCCACTCCCCTCTGTACCTCTGTTGGCCTTCATGCTGTCCTTGTGTGACAGTGCTGGCAGATCAACTTCTGTTCGCGGACTTGTGTCGGCACCGCACCGACCCCGCTTATTTGCGGACTTGTATCGGCGCCGCGCGCTGACCTCTGCTTTTCCTCTGGCCATTTGTCACTTGGCAGCTTATCATTCATTCCTTGCCGAGTGCCATTTATTGTTTGCTTCCCTGCCAATATCGGCATTTGATCCCCTCTTTATTGGCACTAGGTTATTGATCTCATTCAGTTATTCATCAATAACCCTTGCCACTTATTGTTTAGTGATCTGTTCCTCCTTTCCAGTTCCCGGGCTCTTGTCCTTATTTAGTTTGACAATTCCCGCTTATCTCCGCGCCGGACCGCGCCGGACTGACCGGCCTTTCTATATTCCCTCTTGCCTATTTATATACCTTGTAAATACTTTCGGGGACCCCAGTCTGAAATCAACTAGAGTACCCCCCCTGTCTGGTCTGAGTCTCTCCTTCTGCAAAGGGGGCTTCCCCCCTCTGAGTCCGTGCTTGCGGAGTCCGCGCTCCTCCTACAGGTCCGCTCCGCCCACAAGTCTGGTTTGAAGTCCGCTGTAAGTGTCAGTTTGTAAATACGGGATCTCCCCCAAACGTCAAGCTCAGGGCACAGCGCTCCACCTGAGTCGCTGAGGCCGCGATCCCACTCTGCTAACCTTGAACAGCGCTTCCGGACGCGCCGCATATTTCCGCCCGCATATCCGCGCGTGCGCGCTCCAACAGACCTCTGCCACAATCTCCGACACCGACAATATCCCAGCCTCTGACAATAATCCCGTCTCTGACATCGTTCAGCGACAGGTGTCAATTTCCTATTTTCATTGCGCAACCACCTGCCAATTCATTCGGAGGTTGCCAGCTATGGGCACGGCTTACATCCTAGAAAGTGAACCTACAAAACCCCTCTGAGATGAGCGCAAAAAATCACGTGTTTGATGAATTTACACAAATATGAAAATGATGATATTTTTTTTAAATCTGCCAATTACAATGAAGGAAATGAATAGGATGCAAGCGTGAAGACGCACAGGCAGGGGCCCAGGCGCCTTCATAACTGTGGGGCATTTAACAGAAGGGAACAGAAAGTTGTATGCAGTAAGAAAAAAATAGTGGATGAAGGGGGGCGAGGGAATTGTGAGGCCAGCTTAACTGTACATATATATGGTTTGGTCGAGACCCTAGCAATGGTGATTTGACTTAGTGGCTGGTGCTGGATTCTCTTCAATCCTGCGTCAGGATGGATCTTGGTTCGAGTCCTGTATGGTGCTTCTTTTGTTCTCCCTGAGAAAACATTTAAGATGAAAAACTTCAATTCCAAGGGGTGATCAATGTCATGAAAAATGTACATGGGGTGGCTTTTGACTTCGTGATCAACCCCGGATCCATGGCTGAAATTAACACTTTATATATTACTTTTAGGACCAGATCCATGTGAGGTCTACTTGGTCTAGTGGATTATAGCGCTGTTTATGACCCTGTCTCCCCCCTGCTTGTGCATGTTCGATTCATTCTTGGTGGATTTTTTTTTGCCACAGTTATTGCACGAGGATGACTTTAATGTATATATAACACCGATAAGCAATGCTACACTAATTGCACTAAACAAACCCTATTCCGAGCACGTTCTACAATACACAAGCGCTGTAATGGTAATTAATAATTTTAGTTTGGTAATCGGGTTGGGTTGGGGAATAACAGGGAGGGGACGATGAGACCACACGCAATGAATATTTATTACTTAATAACGTCACATGTAGGCAATGGTCGTTGGCTGGTTTCTAAATCAATTCCCTTCATTTTTTTGTTCGGCCATGATCACGTGTATATTTCCTTTTGCGCTAATCTCAGAGGGGTTTTGTAGGTTTTCTCATCCTAGAAGGACCCTTGTATCTTCTTCAGTACATCCGAGGAGGGGCACTTGGCTATGTAAAATCCGTTGGATATAGAGACTTCTCAGATTTAGACTACGACACAAACAACCGTACATACATGGCTCTTGAGCTTGGTTTCCAACATGTCAAGGGCTCGAGGAGGTTCCGTAACTTCTCACCATATACCAATGCTTTAGCTAAGTGCCCGATGTCTCAAGGAGCTGCCTCAATGTGATTTCCGAACATCGCGGGTCGTCATGCGGTACGTGCCACGATTGAACGTGGCGCGAGTGAAATGCCAATGGCGAACCAATGATGAGAGACACAACCGCTTCGGCTCATCAACGGGATCAACTAATGTGGCCATTCAGGGGGGTTCATGTAGTAGCTGGCCCCTTTAGCGCCGTGAGAACGCGTAACTAAACGTTCTTTCATGGGCTTGCGCTTGCTCCCAACCGATCGCCTGAGTGAACCAGCGAAACAAAGATGTTAGACTATATAAAAGGCGCCGAAGACAAGCAGGTCATTCCTAGGCTCTATTTCCTGCGCCTTTAGTATCGGGCTCTACCCTTCGTAGGATCCACAATTTCAGTGGGTCTCGTTGCTGTCCAATTCTTCGCTCCATAAATTTGAACAAACTGGCTCACACCGTTGGCAGGTAGCTCCGACTCCGACTGGCCTAGTCCATTGTCTGACCGACTGCCTTTGGTCGTGCAGTGAATATACCATCTTGGTACTAAAAAGGCTGTTTATGCGTCACTGCCGCCAGGCTGGGGGTCGGGGCCCAAACTGACGTTATCTCGACTCCTACCTCCCCCGATCAACTGCTCTGGTTGACTAGTTACGTAAACCAGTGCAAGCGCCGCGCGAATTATGTTTGCGCAGCATGGAGTGCGCAGTTACTGTGAAGTGGGTGCGGTAATCTAGAACTCGTCGCTAGGGACAATCCACTTGGAAGCCCGACTGGAAAGGACTTTGGAAACACATGATAGATATCTGGGTTCGCTGATGTACTCGATTGCCAAGTAATCACTCCGTTAGTATCTAATTCGTGAATTGGCTATACGCCGCCCTATTATCTTTGTAACAGCTGCCGCAAACACCGCATCAGCGCTTGAGCGAAGGTTATAAAGACTCGAGGACAGTAACGCGAAGTGCGTCACATTCTATCACACACAGCGGTGAAGGGATTCATAATGCTCAGGGTATCCAACTGGTTGTGAAAACGGCTTCCTCAGACTGCCGTTCCTTCGAGTTGTCAACAATAATGAGTCAGATGTATTTGGGATGCCCGCTACTCCCATTTTAGGAGACGAACGTTCATTTACATCATGTGGGTGATATCCGGTATAAGTGCTTTAACGATGCTGATGTCATTTTCTTATAGAATTGCAATTCATTCGAGCTCCGAGAGAAGCTCAAGAAGAATCGCGCATAATTCCAATTTCGGAGTAGTCATCTTCAACTACTGAACCGTTGTTTGCTTTCACCCCATCCTCATCAGCTTTTTACGAACTGTACGGTCATCTCTCTGATCCTGTCCGGGTCTTCGCCATTTCTGGCGATTATTCTGGACACCGTTGAGTGAGAATTTACTCAATTCCCGAACGGTCATGGAAGCAAAGTTGCCAAAGAAGATTGACACATGGGATGGTGACGCGGCCAATTACGAAGCCCAACTCGATCATCGCAACAGTGTTGTGACATCATACATGTGTGGCACTTCTCCCCCTATGGTCGTTATGTAGCCCTCGGTTTTTGGTAACGGTATCATCGAGCTCATCGACATCGACCAACGCACCATTTCCCGATTCCAGCTTGATCCACCCAACTACCCTGCCCCATTGAATTTTCCCATGCATGGCAGCAACTGTCGTTACTGAGGATAACGAGGAAAATACCAGTCCTTAGCCATGGTAGCACCCCCCGTAAATCTCGGTATCAATCGCTCCTTCCCTACGTATATTGATACTTCAGTGCAGTCGGATAATGGATCATTTGTCGGACGAGTTCCACGCAAGCCTTGGTCTTGGTGTGACAACATAACGTTAACGCTTACATCGGCTTCAAACGACCCGCAGGTTCTGCTCCCTCGCTCCCCCTCCTTCCATCGCTTCCATCGCTTACATCCTTCCGCTCAAATCCTTTGTTAGCCACCGCACGTTTGGGTTTTCTCCCGGCTTACAGAGTTGGTTGTGCGTCATCGTGTTCTGCCCTGCACAACTTCCCCCGGGTGGTCAAACGTCTAGCCAAGCCTGGCCTCGATCGTAGGAATGATAACAGCATTGGACTTGCGTTTGTTGGTGCAGTTCTCGACGATGTAAGCATTTTGCTTGAGTACGCATCTATGCGCAGCTCAGTTCTGACCGTTCGACTGTGCGCTTGCACTTGTAGACTAGCCACGATTATGTCACCTCAACTTTTGTGGTTCCAACCGTTCGACCGACACATCCAATCGGCTTTGAGTACATTGCTCTAGGAGTTGCCTTTTACTGCGACAATAACGTTTTAACCGCCCTCGGTATTTCGGTTGCTCCCAACGGGACTGTTTACATCATTGGTACCCAATGAAGCTGGCGCGCCTGCAAGTGTGTTGACCACGGATAGGTCGTCGTTACCCTGCACAGCGGGTAATGCTGGGGATATACCCACCATCCTAAACACAACTTTCACCTGTCTAACATGCAGGCACAATCTCACGCGCATTGCTGAGACTGTTCTTGCCCGATGCCCAATTCCCTTCTGGCAGATCACTAACCTCATGAGTTGAAGGAACCGCCCTGGCTCGTGACCGCGGGATGTAAGAGGAGACCACGCCCTCTCGCCCCGCTTGAAGGCTGATTCGCCTTGAGGTGCTGCACACCAAAAGTGGATGCACTACTTTTGAGCCCGTTTTCGTAAGCAACCGCTGCTGCCAGAAATTGTCAAGAACATAATTTATTGCAACGTCGGGATCTAGAGAATGGCCAATCGACTGTCTATCGTACTGCCATATTTAATAGTAACGATGCCTTTCTCTTGGACAGACATAATCAACCAACCCACGGACGAGGGCCACGCCCGTTGGGAAAGATTGATAACCACAGTGCTTCTATATTTGGTTCCTGTCACAGAGCTAGCTGTTGGCTAGCAATCGGCAAAGTGCGCGCGCGCGCGCGGCTCTTGTGGCCTCGGAACAAGCGCTTTTAAGATAAATTTCGTCGTCCTAAATTTGTGCTGGAATGCCGAGTGTGTGGCTGACACATTAATGTAAAAGATGCACCAGGCACAAACTCGACGGAGATGTGGCCTATAATCAAGCGATCAACCGTCGTGGATGATGGGTGTCGAGATGTTGCCGAGACCGCGCGCGACTTGTTACAGTCATCTCAATTCAGAAACATCGTGGTCAACAATGACCGGATCGCCAGGTCCGACTGACACTTGACTTCGACCAAATTCGCACAAGCCCTCGAATCCGCTTTCCTCTTACCCAAACGAGGATGAATTGAAGACTTCTGGTTCCGCTCACATACCATTCTATCGCCTCTCAATAAAGATAATACCTCATGCTCATCCCATAGTGGCATCTCTGATTTATTGGGGTGCCTTCCAATTTCAGTACGAATATCTGCTGAAAGGTTGCCTCCTCTCTGTCAAGTCCCAAAAGCGACTTCTGGACATGTGTGTAAGCCTTCCGTTGATTACAACCCTTCATAAAAGACCCTTTAACTGCTATTTAAATCTCAAATCCGTCGAAGGCGTTATAAACAATATGCTTTTCCTCTCTCCGACTCGTGATCTCCTCTACGTCACTGCCATGGAAGCGGGACGTCCCCACCACCAATTCGAACACCTCGCGTGCTTTTGCGTAGGCCTCCTCGCGCTCAGTGTGGAGACACTTGGCTCGGGACTGACACAAGAACAATCAGATCTGCACCACTGGGCCGCTGGGGGACTGGCGACTTCGTGTCACCTGGTATTTGCGGAGGTGGAGAGTGGTTTGGGTACTGAGGTGGCGCAAATGAGGATTGGCGTGAAGACGCGGTCCATAAAGGTAGTCAAGGAGTCGGAGGAACAGTGGACGTCCAGGAGGAAGTTCCACCGGGTGTGAAAGCTGCGGTGAGAACCATGGCTTCGGCGCGCAGGGATTGCTATATATGAAATAATGTAGGAATAACTGAGGAGTTAGGTCCTAGTGACATGGGAACCAATTAGCTCACCTATCGCCACTTCAACCCCAGGAAATTCTTCGGTGAACGCGAAGTGCGTCACATCCATCACAGCGGTGAAGGGATTCATAACAGGGGATCCAACTGGTTGTGAAAACGACTCTTTTTCAAATGGTATTTCCTGGGACTGCCGCTCCTTCGAGTTGTCAACAATAATGAGCCAGATGTATTTAGGATGCCCGCTACTCCCATTTTAGGAGATGAACGTTGATTTACATGATGTGGGTGATATCCAGCATAAGTGCTTTACCGATGCTGATGTCATTTTCTGATAGAATTGCAATTCATTCGAGCTCCGAGAGAAGCTCAAAAGAAGAATCGCGCATAATATTTCCAATTTCGGAACAGTCATCTTCAACTACCAAACCGTTGTTTGCTTTCACCCCATCCTCGTCACCTTTTTACGAACTGTACGGTCATCTCTCTGATCCTGTCCAGCTCTTCGCCATTTCTGGCGATTTTGGTAACCGACATCGACCAACGCACTATTTCCCGATTCCAGCTTGATCCGCCCAACTACCCTGCCCCATTGAATTTGCCCATGGCAGCAACTGTCGTTGCCGAGGATAACGAGGAAAACGCCAGTCCTCAGCCATGGTAGGACCCCCGTAAATCTCGGCATCAATGGCCCCTTCCCTACGTATACTGGTACTTTAGTGTCGGATTATGGATCATTTGTCAGACGAGTTCCACGCCAGCCTTGGTATGACAACATAACGCTTACATCGGCTTCAAACAACCCGCACGTTCAGCTCCTCGCTTCCCCTCCTTCCATTGCTTCCCCTCAAATCCTTTGTTAGCCGCCGCACGTTTGGGTTTTCTCCCTTACAGAGTTGATTGCGCGTCATCGTGTTACGAAATCCAATTCTTGGATTATGAATCCCACCGTCCATCCCTTGCTCATATCTCATATATTCCTGATCCCGTGTCCACGCGACTCACTGAAGGACATGCGAGAGACATGCATCAATCCGAATTAGTGGACGCAGAGTAGATCAAGCATGCATGAAGACCTCGGCGTCTATTCACCTGTTCCCGGAGGAGTCCCGCTATTGTTAACCAGAAACATGAGTGAGGAGCTACTAATATGGTCCAGCCAACTGCAGAACAGAATTCTCTTCCGCGGTGATCTTAGGGTGCGTGGCGACAACCGTCTGAGAGCTTGGCACGGCAACCGAGCGCTGTTTGATGCTACGGATCTCTACCACCTTCCATCCAGCAAGGACGGTACTCCAAGGCCGGATGACGGCTCCGATATTAGTAAAGTCGTCTAGGATGTCTGCGGTCGTTGCCACCCTTAGCCATGGTATCGTCCCCGTGGATCTTGATATTCTCCCCAACGGCCCCTTCGTGCCGGAACATTGATGTCAGAGGCCTTGGTACGACAACATGTCGGCAACATGACGCCCATACCGACGATCCGCACGTTTTCCCTCTCCTTCTGACCCTTCCACTCCATCCTTCCACCCAAATCCTTTGCTAGCCATTCCTCGTTGTCGCGCGCATCGGGTTTCCTTCCGGAGCATGGCATTTTGGCACTTTCGATGGCGTCAACGCATTCACTCAGTCGACCGAGTCGGGCGAGTTCATTGTGGCTTACAGCGTTACGAATGTCAGTTCTTGGTTTGTGAATCTCACAGGTCCCCACCACTTGCTCATATCTCATCCCTGCTCTCGTATCCCTCGTCCCTGGTGATCCAGCAGACATGCACCTTTCTGAACCGGATATATGCGTGACTCGGATGCATCCCATTTGCGGCCTCCCACCAAGCACGCACGAAGACCTCGGCGTCAATTCGTCTGTTGCAGGGAGAATCCCCATTGCTCTGGATGGGAAACATAAGCGAGGGGGCACCAATATGGTTTGATGGCAGAACAAAGTCCACTGTCTCCATGCCGTACCCGCCGCCGGTTAACTTCAGGATGGGTTACATCAACCATCCAGGTGCCTTGTATGGTGATCAAGTGCTGTTTGATGCTAAATCACTAGCACCTTTGGTCGAGCAAGGGGGCGAGTCGACTTCTCAAAGACCGGATGACGACTCCAATTGTCGTCGAAATTAGCAAGTCGTTTAGGATGGGTCGCGGGTCATTGCGATTCCTTCTTCTCCACTTGTTAGTTGCCTAGCTTGAGCGTTTTTCTGTCCCTGCGTTATACATTGTCCTCCGATTTGTACATCATTTGCGCTTGACATTTTATAATAACGAGTTAGTTGCGAACGGCACGTGAAGGGGGGAATAACATCCTCTAGCTCTGAAGTCAAACAGCGAAGCGCCACCACCCCGAACAAGGATCATATATCTACATCAAGATTTTCTTGCATGGATCAGATGAGCCAGGCGTCCTCATGGAATCCCCATCTGACATCCACCTATGGCCCCTATTAATAAACATTGCTCCTACGATACTGGCAGAGATAATTGTCACTTTTGAGGACTGAGGGTGCTTGCGGGCACGCATTCCGAACAGATTATCTTTCATTTGGTGGCATGAAGACCTATACCCGAAAGTTTCTGAGCGGAACCAGCAGATTCATCGCTGTCATCCCGTTTATTTGACCCTCTGTAAGGCCAAATGCCTTTCAACCTTGCCGGCGATGTTCGATGCTCTGGATAAATTCAAACAGTAATAGAAAGTGTCAAACTCTCTCTCCCCCACCAGATTGGAAGCAGAGAGTGGGTTGGCGGAAAAGAAGAGGAGACAAATCACCTGTTGAGCATTGCGGGGACGCTTTCCAGTCGGTGGCTCTGAGGGAAGAAGTGGGAGAGCTAGTACTGACGGGAAGGGATGGACGGATCGCTTGGCGTGTTAAAGAGTAACAATCCGGTGGAGCTATGTTGGCGCATCACGCGAACGGGGGAGTGACATGAGCACAACGATTGCCGTCTGAGTATAGAGCCTGATTGAGATACTCTGTACGGATAGGACTTCGTCATCACTCGAAGCATTAACACCCATTCTCAAGGATAGTAGCACTTGATATGTGGGGAAAATTCATGTTTTGGAACGACAGCGAAATAGGATACCTCCGCTACTTGGATACCCGGAGGTGCGAGGCCACCAATTAGAGTTGAGGGAAGCGGACACCGCAGAAAGGAATCCAACAGTAATAGCGCAAGATTGGAATATTGATATTTTTTGCATCAGTTCTATTACTGGTCAGTGGGCCGACAAAAATAGTGGATGCCTCGCCTGGTAAGTAATTGCTGCTGAAATTTCGTCTAGGTTTGTGTCGCCATTAACACAAAGCCATCCAGTCAGACACAGCCCACCATCAATGGCTTGGATCCCTATACGAGGAGCTGGGAAGTGATCTAGAGCTGTTCTGGGATGACTCAGAGCATTGGAATCGAAGCAACCGGGCTGAAGCGTATTGCTAGATGGCAGTGGAGAGGGAACAACTGACAAGGTGGACAACAGACGAGACCCTGATGTTTGTGTGTGCAATCAGTTTAATATTCGCGTATAGGACTGGCAGGAAACACAAGGCTGCGTTTGGTGGTCCGAACCAAATAACTATCAACGACAGCGACCAATGTCAAACAATCACTTACAAGGGAGCGTAGTAAACACAAGTGTTTTTTTTTGAATTTCGCTATCGGCCCCAGGTAGCGTAGTTAACATTCCATCGCCGACAGAAGGGTATTTCAATATTTGTTGTCCTGCGTTGGCAGTGGTTAGGACAGTACTGCCTTATATGTCGATGTGTGGTCGAGGGCGGTTCAACTCTCTCCTCTCTGCCCACAACACCCTCTGCGATTGCTGATACACGATGTTTGATCGACTTAAGTTTTCTAACAGAAGACACTCTCCTGCGCCTCCCGGTGGCCCTTCGCGACCCTCGATCTCTGTTCCCAGCATTCAGATCACTACTTCTCCAACTGAAAGCGATGAAACAACTAGCACAGATCGCGGTGGATCTGATAGACCCAGTCTTAAGCCTCTTACTACAACTGGCGGTAGTTCTCGAGGCCGGAAGCAGCGGTGGTCTGTTCGGCACACTATAGCTAAGCTATTGCCCAGTCCCGATCCCGACCAATCGAACTCCTCCGATCCCAGGCAATCTGACCCCTCGGCACCCGATCTGCCATCCCCAACCGTCCCTGCTGGTGAAGGAAAGAAAACAATCATCGCCGCCACAAGGCTCGTCCTCCAAACTGCTGCCTCTGCTCTTAAGTTCGCCCCTATTCCAAATCTCGATCAGATACCACGTATTCTCCTCACATGGCTCCAAGTTTACGAGGTTCGCAGGTGTTGTTGCGATTTTGCGATCTAATGATATAACCTCCATGTTTTCATGCAGACGATTGACAACAATGACGAAAATCTCAAGGGATTAGACGATGAAGTTCGAAAGGCTCACGAAACGATTTTTAGGCCTCTCCAGTTGTGGACTGGCCAAGTTCCTCTCGAAATAAGTGATCTGATTCAACGATTTAACTTGTATGTGCATTCACTTCATCGTTCTCTCGCCCAAATCTCGATCCTCGGTCACAGAGCTCTAAAACAACAATTAAAGCAAATTGAGGCACTCAAACGTCAAAAGCTTTCCAAGAGGGTAATTTTAGCGACTGAGATAACCCAGGAAATAAGCGCTGTGAAGTCCTGTATCTGTGATGCTGTCTCCCGCTTTACGGTTCGTTTTGTTGGTGTTCAGACTGCCTGATGACTGATTTGAGTTTACCCCATAGACCACTGCGACAACTCTGAATCTCCTCCACACAATTCAGTCATCGGTGGACCGTGCGTTGTTGTTCCCCAGTTTCACTGCTTGAAATTTAATGATATTTTAGGCGAACTCTCGAAACTCTACAAAGCAGAGGCAGAATACTTTGCGGTGAAAAGCAAGTCGAAATGCGCGGAAAACACCCGTGTCCGGATTCAGGAATCGATTTTCAATCATTTGGAGAAACGGGAACACCGATTTGTCTGGCTTCGTGGCTCCCCAGGCACTGGAAAGACTGCTATATCGATGAGTGTTGCCTCGGCTCTTAACAAACAGGGTCGCTTGGCGGCGTCCTTCTTCTGGGACAAAAATCGGAAGGGAGAAGGACTTGCTTCGATTGAACACTTTCCCTCTACTCTTGCACGTCAGCTTGCCTTGTTTAATGCCGAGTACGAAGGTCTTCTTGTCAGTCAACTTCGACGGTCCTCGGCACTGAAGGACCTCCGAGGTTCCACTCTGGAGGAGCAGATGGGATCTCTGGTTGTCGATCTCATGCACAAACTCTTATCTTTGCGCTGGGAGCGTCCCGTCATCATCTTGGATGGACTGGACGAGTGTGGGGCTCAGGAGGAACTTAGGTCCTTAATGAAGCTAGTACTTATCCTTGATGAACTGCCTCCCGCATTTGCTGTGTTGGTCAGCTGTCGGCCGGAGTCATCTGTTGTGTCGGCTTGGGTTAGAGCTCGAGCTCAGGGTCTTGTCATACCCTGTGAAGACATGGACACTGTCGCTGAGGAAGAGAACTTTCATACTATCCACCGCATGGTGGAGGAAGGCCTTCAGGATTGCATCGACAACTCTTCCTGGAAACCATCAAAAGAAGAAGTGGATGCGTTTGTCTCAGCATGTCGTGGATTGCCGATTATCGCCTCAATCCGAGTCCGGGATGTCTCCTTTCAAACCTGTCGTGGTGCAACCCTTCGATCTGAGTTTGAATACTTTCGTGATTTGATCGATGCCCCTGAAGACATCAATAAGGAGTACTTGCGTGTACTTCGCCGTGCCTATATGGTTGGCTCATCTGGAGTCCGTAAACATACAGCCAAGAAGTACCGTCAAGTGGTTGCGACAATCAACGCGGCATTCGAACCACTAAGTGTGTTTTTTATATCGCAGCTATCAGGAATTGCCGAGGAAGAGGTCCTAGCCATATTGGATCCAATTCGCTCAATTGTTGATCTTCCTTCAAAGCTTGACTTGGAACATTCTTCGGAAAGTCTTCCAGAAAGTCCTCCAGAAAGTTCCTCGGAGGAAGTCCAGGGTGTCAAATTCTATCATGCAACAATGAAAGAGTTTATAATGGGGGATCCGATTGGTGATGAAAACGACAAAGTATTCTTTATCACGGATGCGAATCAGTATTTCCTCGGACTGCCACTCCTCCGATTTTTCAATAATAGTTGTGAGCAGGATGTGTTTGGGTTTCCCACTGTTCCCCCTTTAGGAGATGAGGAGAGATGGAGCAATCTTCCCAAGAGAGAACATTATCACCCTTATCTTCTCCGATATGCTCGTCATGACCAATATGCTCGTTGATACTTATTAAGACACTTAGAACCCTCACAACTCTTTGCACAAGGGTCCAATTTGCAGAACGAGTTTAATACATTCCTCACACAAAACTTGGTTACATTTATGCACTTGGCACCAATCGGTGAACAGTACAAGGGATTCCCTGATGGATTTGATGAATTCAAGGTAAATAAAATCGTTGTGTCGCGATTATTTTAATATGATGTCATTTTTAACAGAATTGTGATTCATTCAAACTTTTGAAAGAAGCTCGAGAAAAGCAATGTATGGAGTCTCTGGGTGCAACTTCATATGAACCATGGGACCTCTATCGATCAACCCTTCCTTTCACCCCATCCTCATCACCTTTGTACAAACTGTATGGCCATCTCTCCGATCCCATCCGAATCTTCACCATTTCCAGCGAGTTTTCCGGGCACAGAATCCCATTGAGTGATGATTTGCTCAATGCTCGAATGGTCATGGAGGCAAAGCTACCTAATTTGCCAAAGAAGGCTGATAGTCGGGATGATTATGATGCCCAATTCAACAATCGTGGTGTTCGTAACGGTATCGTGACATGCACGGCGCTCTCCCTTGATGGTCACCATGTGGCTCTTGGTTTTGGTAGTGGTGTCATCGAACTCACTGATATCGACCATCAGTGCACGGTTTCCCGATCCCAGCTCGATCCACCCAACCATCCAATCTGGATTGAATTTGTCCATGGCAGCCACCGAGTTGCTGCTGAGGACAATAAGGGGAATGTTACCATCCTTAGCCATGATATGACTTCCATTAATATTGGTACTCTTCCCAACCATCCTCTTCCTGCTGTAACTCAAGTATCAGATAATGGATTATTTATCATACGGGTCCCACGGAATGCTGATAGTTCTTGGTACAACAGCATGACCCTCATATCCATTTCAGGTGACCGGCACATGCAGCACCTTGCACCCCCTTCTTCCGATAATTTCACTCTAACTTCCAACCATATCTTAGCCCTCAAGTCTACTACCAGGTCCTCTGCGTTCCCAGTGCTCGCTATTCCTCACCGTCGCACGCTTGGGTTTTCTCTGGCTGCACGTTATATCGGCGCTTTCGATGGCCTCAGCGCTTTCACCTGGTCGACAGGTTCAGGTGAGCTCATTGCAAGTTATTGTGTGATGGATTTCGATTGTTGGATCATGAATCCTGCTGTTCCCCTCGCCCGCTCTTATCGCATCCCGGATCCTGTATCCACTCAGCCTACCCTTTCCTTGACAGAAGGTGAAGCAGCAGATATACATCATTCCAAAACATCCGCAGGGCATAACTTGGACGAATCCTGGATCAAGTGCCCATTTTATGTTCTCTTGCAAAGCAAGGAGGACAGGGGTAGGAGATGGCGGAGCCATTCATCTGCTGCCGGAAAAACCCCACTGTTCGGAACTGTTATTGGTATCAACTCCAGTGGGCTGCCAGTGTTCTTCGATGGCAAATTAGAATTTATTATTCCCAAGGAGTATCGCCCAGTTTTCTTTTCTGGTGCCGAAGGTTCAGGCGCTTGGTATGGTGATCAAGTGCCACCCGATCCTACCTTGCTGTACAGCCCTCGGTCCAGCAAAGATGGGACTCGAATTCTCTTGCAAGGCCGACAGACAGCTCCAATTGTTGTTGATCTTAGTCAAGTCCTTTAGGATATTTGTGGTCAGTTGCAATATCTTCTATTTACCTTGCGCATTCTGTCCACTATCAGAGGGGGAATCGCGAAGTTTCGCCAGGTCGCCCTTCCATCCTTCTGGACTTCCCTCAGACGAGGTTCCCTTTCCCTATGGTGCAGTGTGTATAAATACGGGCTCAGAGACTTCAATGAATCCATGGCCATTCCTTCCTTGCACTGTCGTTTAGTCCCGGGTCGGACAACATCAATGCTCATCAGAAGAATGAAGGTATCTAGCTGTCCATTTGAGCCAACCTGCACCGCTAAAAGGCTTGGCCGAAGCGGATCACTTTGGACGTATTGAAAAATCGGTATTTCTTTTGCCAATATCCACTGTTTCCCCCGGCGTTCATTCATAATGTGACAAAGAACCAATGTAGTATAAATGATAGATATGTGGGTGTGCGAGCGTTTAGTGCTACAAGATATCGGGACAAAAGTGAACGATTTTTTTGCATCACGTTAAATAAAGCCAATGTATGGGCAAATCCATCCCAACTTAGTCCATGAACTTATGAGACTCGAAGAGTACCTCGTTCCACCCCGGCTTGATCACGCTGAAACCTGGGGCCAGCGAAAGCTGCAGAATCTGTGCCGCATTCAGATTAATCCCAAGTCCATTGCACAAAGAAATGGGATAGGTATCCTTAACCCCTCCCACCCAGTAGCGGTTCTCGATGACTTCATCCCAGAATCATGCACGCCAGGAAAGAGCAACATTTTATCCAACTGTTTATTGTGTTCGGAACCAGACACATCAGGATGCTCGACGTACCAGCATCAGCCTGGGGTGGCCATTGATCCATATACTCCACCCGATCCCCGCAAGCCCTACGTACAGAATAACATATCTGCACAATTTAGAATAAAGTTATAGAAGGTGGGCGGCCAGGGTCCAATATGCAACTGGAAGGGCACAGTTTTCCCGCAAGTTATAATAAACTCGTCTCATATTGGCGTCTTTGATTTATTGAGGCGCTGATCATGCTATCGCAGCATACAATCCTCCAAACTCCAATGCCGCGTGTTCAAACTCAACGTTCCTGATTTCGACCCATCGTGGCCAGCCAAATCTCCACTGGCGCCTGTAGGCTCTTATCATTGCCCTTGCTGTGAATGTCTTGTACGCACGTGTGGCATGCCCACCAGGCATTGAGCAATGCAGCGCAAGCCATATTGGCTGTTCTTGTGAATTGAGAGTGGTAGGTCGTGACTCTGACTGTGCATCGATTAGGATCCGTCTGTTAAGGGTTGCAGCGGTAAGCTGCAATCGTCCGAATCATGAGCGTTCGTCGTAGGTGAACGTTTCATGCATGGATCCAAATGGGGAGAACTGGATGACGGCATAAGGGATCATGAGGGATAGCGCAGGGAGGCCGAGGACAGAGAAATTAAACGTCAATGCACTGACGGCGGTTGGCCCATGGCCAGCAGAGGGTCGAAGGTATTGGACAATGAGGGCTTTTTTGCCACTGGATTCTTCCGCGATATCTTGAATCGTGGGATACCAGCAGGATACGGGAGTGCTAGAATCAGAGTCCATAATGGGCGGAAGGTCCAGTTGATATGTTGCTTGTCATTAGGATCAGAATTTTCAGTGCTTTCAGGATCTTTCGCTGGATAACTTGGATGTATCGAACGTTTGCGACGAGGGCGCCAGGCGTCGCCTGAATCCTTGTAATGGATGAGATATGCCTTTTGACCCAAAGCGAGGACACCACCCACAATGGCAACACAATCTCTCGCCGCATTGTCTCGATGGTCACCGAATGCCTGACACCTACAACATAAAAGGCTCGAATTGAGAAGAGCGTGAAGCACAGCGTAGCGACATACCATGTCCAGCCAGTAGGAAATGATGCGCCCCAGTTCTTTTCCATATGTGCCACCCCTGTGCCTCCAAAGACTTCTAATCCCACCCCATTGGCGCCCATATGCTTCACGTCATAATTTGCCTTCGATCCGGTTGAGAAAATTGCCCAATGCAATGGAAGTAAAGTTTCCAATCTTGAAAGGGCCATGCTGTGCGGAGTACTCAGTAGAGCGTGCTCCTGCGATAATGGAACGCGATCCGTTATGTCTATGGACACTTTCCAGTGCTCGGAAGAGCTTTCTCCACATGGGACGGTGAGATTATAACGTTGGGTCTTTGGCTCCACGGTGGAGCTTCCAATATTAGGTATGTTCAAAGTATATGGTTGCAAATCTGTCTCTGAATCGGGCGGGGAGTCCACGATATGTTGAAGGTCATCAGGAAATAAGTGGAACTCGACCGGCTCGATAGTAGACGAGTCACCAATAGGCGTTACTGAGAAATGGAAATAGTGCTTCCTAGGAGTGTTTGATGGCATCGAGTCTCCAAGAGAGCAAAAAATCAGGATGATGGAGAGTCCCGCCGATTAGTCTTGTATTCGAGTATACCAGCCCTCGAAACCGACATATGAAGGGTGAGGGGAAAACTCCCAAAAGGAATGGGGTACGGCAACCATGTGAGTCGTTCGGCGACAGGTGTCAATTTCCTATTTCCATCACCTGCCAATTCATTCGGAGGTTGCCAGCTATGGCACCCAGTACATCCGAGGAGGGGCACTTGGCTATGTAAAATCCGTTGGATATCCTGGAGGTAAGAGATTTCTCAGATTTAGACTACAACACAAACAACCGTACATACATGGCTCTTGAGCTTGGTTTCCAACATGTCAAGGGCTCGAGGAGGTTCCCTAACTTCTTGCCATATACCAATGCCTTAGCTAAGTGCCCGATGTCTCAAGGAGCTGCCTCAATGTGATTTCTGAACATCGCAGGTCATCATGCGGTATGTGCCATAATTGGACGTGGCATGAGTGAAATGCCAGTGGCGAACCAATGATGAGAGACACAACTGCTTCGGCTCATCAACGGAACCAACTAATGTGGCCATTCAGGGGGGTTTCCTGTAGTAGCTGGCCCCTTTAGCGTCACAAGAACGCTTGGCCAAACGTTCTTTCATGGGCTTGCGCTTGCTCCAGCCGATCGCCTGAGTGAAACAGCAAAACAGAGATGTTAGACTAAAAGGCGCCGAAGACAAGCGGGTCATTCCTAGGCTCTATTTCCTGCGCCTTTAGTATTGGGCTCTACCCTTCCTAGGATCCACAATTTCAGTGGGCTCGTTGCTGTCCAATTCTTCGCTTCATAAATTTGAACAAACTGGCTCACACCGTTGGCAGGTAGCTCCGACTGGCCTAGTCCATTGTCTGACCGACTGCCTTTGGTTGTGCAGTGAATATACCATCTTGGTACTAAAATTCTGGACAAAAGGCTGTTTACGCGTCACTGCCGCCAGGTTTGGGGCCGGGGGTTTGGCACCTCCCAAACTGATGCTATCTCAACTCCTACCTCTCCTGATCCACTGCTTTGGTCAACTAGTTACGTAAACCAGTGCAAGTGCCCTGCGAATTGTGTTTACGCAGCATGGAGAGCGCAGTCACTGCGAAGCTTAGTGGGTGCGGTAATCTGAAATCGACAACTCGTCGCTAGGGACGATTCACTTGGAAGCCCGACTGGAAAGGGCTTTGGCGCCGCTCATGGTGTGTATTAGGCAAGGCACAGATTGGATTCATGATGGGTTCGAATTTGCGAGCGCCATTAGAAACATATGATAGATATCTGGGTCCGCTTACATACTTGATTGCCGAGTAATCACTCCGTTACTAACTAATTCGTGAATTGGCAATACGCCACCCTACGATCCTTGAGCGAAGGTTATAAAGACTCGAGGACAGTAACGCGAAATGCGTCACATCCTATCACACACAGCGGTGAAGGGATTCATAACGTTCAGGGTATCTGGTTGTGAAAACGACTTCCTCGGACTGCCGCTCCTTCGGGCTCTCATCAATGAGTCAGATAGACGCATTTGGGATGCCTGCTACTCCCATTGTAGGAGATGAACGGGAGTTTCGTTCATTTACATCATGTGGGTGATATCACACATAGGTCCTTTAACGATGCTGATGTCATTTTCTGATGGAATTGCGATTCATTCGAGCTCCGAGAGAAGCTCAAAAGAAGAATCGCGCATAATTCCAATTTCGGAACAGTCATCTTCAACTACCGAACTGTTGTTTGCTTTCACCCCATCCTCGTCACCTTTTTACGAACCGTACGATCATCTCTGATCCTGTCCGCGTCTTCGCCATTTCTGGTGATTATTCTGGACACGCAAATCTCGTTGAGTGAGAATTTACTCAATGCCCGAACAGTCATGGAAGCAAAGTTGCCAAAGAAGGTTGACAGATGGGATGGTGAGGGCGGCCAATTACGAAGCCCAATTCAATCATCGCAACAGTGTTGTGACATCATTCATGTGCGGTGCTTCTCCCCCGATGGTCGTCATGTAGCCCTCGGTTTTGGTGACGGTATCATTGACCTCACCGGCATCAACCAATGCACTATTTCCCGATTCCACCTCAATCCATGGCAGCAACTGTCGTTACCGAGGAAAACGAGGAGAATGCCAGTCCATAGCCATGGTAGGACCCCCGCAAATCTCGGTATTAATGGCCCCTTCCCTACGTATACTGGTACTTTAGTGTCGGATAATGGATCATTTGTTGGACGAGTTCAAGCCTTGGTGTGACAACATAACGCGTACATCGGCTTCAAACGACCCACACCTCGCTTCCCCTCCTTCCATCGCTTCCCTTCCATCCTTCTGCTTAAATCCTTTGTTACCCAGCCCTCATCGCCACACATCTAGGTTTTCTCCTGGTTTACAGAGTTGGTTGCGCATCATCGTGTTACGAAATTCAGTTTTTGGATTATGAATCCCACAGTCCAACCCCTTGCTCACATCTCATATATTCCTGGTCCCATGTCCACCCGACTCACTGAAGGACATGCGCATCATTCCGAATTAGTGGATGTAAAGTAGACGGGTTGGGCATGCATGAAGATCTTGGCGTCTATTCACCTGTTGCCGGAAGAATCCCGCTATTGTGCACTGGAAACGTGAGTGAGCTACTAATATGGTCCAACTGCAGAACAGAATCCTCTTCTGCGGTGATCTTAGGGTGCATGACAACAACCATCTGAGAGCTTGGTATGGTAATGAAGCGCCGTTTGATGCTACGAATCTCTTACCGCTTCCATCCAGCAAGGATGGAACTCCAAGGCTGGATGACAGCTCCAATTGTCGTCGATATTAGTAAAGTCGTCTAGGATGTCCGCAGTCGTCGTCACCCTTAGCCATGGTATCCTCCCCGTGAGTCTTGGTACTCCCCCCAACGGCCCACTCGTGCTGGGACATTGTCAGAGGCCTTGGTATGACAACATGCCGGCAACGTGACGCCTATACTGATGACCCCCCTCTCCTTCCGACCCTTCCACTCCATCCTTCCACCCGAATCCTTTGCTAGCCATTCCTCGTCATCGCGCGCCTGGGTTTCCTTCCGGAGTATGGTATTCCGATGGAGTCAGCGCTTTCACTTAGTCGACCGAGTCGGGCGAGTTCATTGCCCCTTACAGCGTTACGAATGTCAGTTCTTGATTTATGAATCTCACAGGTCCCCACCACTTGCTCATATCTCATCCCTGCTCCCGTATTCCTTGACCCAATTCTCCCTGGTGATCCCGTAGACATACACCTCTCCGAACCGGATATATGCGTGACTCAGATGCGTCCCAATTTACAGCCTCCCACCAAGCACGCACGAAGGCCGCTACAAATCACGAATCACTAGCACCTTTGGTCGAGCAAGGGGGCGACTCGACTTCTGCTCCAAGATTGGATGGCGACTCCAATTGTCGTCGAAATTGGCAAGTCGTTTAGGATGGGTCGCGGTCATTGCGATTCATTCTTCTCCACTGATTAGTCGCCTAGCTCGAGCGTTTTTCTGTCACCGCGTTATACATTGTCCTCCGATTTGTATGTCATTGCACTTGACATTTTATAATATCAATAATAATGAGTATGGCAGGTGAAGGGGGAACAACATCCTCTAGTTCTGGAAGTCAAACACACCCCGAACAAGGGTCATATATCCACATCAAGATTTTCTTGCATGGATCAGTTGAGCCAAGCGTCCTCCCATCCAACATCCACCTATGGCCCATTGATAAACATTGCTCCTACGATACTAAGTAATGGAAGATGTTAATACTTCGAAGTCCCATCTGTACAGAGTATCTCGATCTCAGACTCTATACTCTCAGACAGCAATCACACGAGCACACCACAATGGACTTCTTGTTAGTCCCTCCCCCTCCCTAGAAATTGCACTTCATCGATTCCCTCTGTTTCTTCTGATCTGCTCATGGAATTCCACCGTCTCCGCGTGACCCGCCAACATAGCTCCATCGGGTTGTTACTCTTTAACACGCTAAACGGTCCATCAGTACTAGCTCTCCCGCTTCTTCCCTCAGAGCGACCGACTGGGAAGCATCCCCGCAACGTTCAAAAGGTGATTTGTCACCTCTTCTTTCCCCCAACCCGCTCTCTGCTTCCATCCTGGTGGGGGAGAGAGAGTTGACACTTTCTATTACTGTCTGAATCTATTCCGAGCATCGAACGTCGCCGGCAAGGTGAAAGGCATTTGGCCTTACAGAGGGTCAAATAAACGGGATGAACGGCCTGCTGGTTCCACTCAGAAAATTTCAAGTATAAATCTTCATGGGAAACGAAAGGCAATCTGTTCAGAATCGTGCTCGCAAGCACCCTCAGTCCTCAAAAGTGACAATATCTCTGTGGGAAGACTAGGTATTCCATGTTTTAGAACGACAGCGAAATAGAATACCTCCGCTACTTGGATAGGTGTGAGGTCGCCAATTAAAGTTAAAAGCGGACACTACAGATAGAAGCCCAACAGCAATAAAGTCTTAAAGCGCAAGATTGAAATATTTTGCACATCAGTGCTATTACTGGCCGACAAATAGTGGATGCCTGGTAAGTAATTGCTGCTGAAATTTCATCAAAGCTTGTGTCGGCGTCACACAAAGACATCCATTCAGAGTTACATAAGTCCACCATTGATAGCTTGGATCCCTATACGAGGGGCTAGGAAGTCATCTAGAGCTGTTCTGGTATGACTCAGAGCATTGGAATAGAAGTAACCAGGCTGAAGCATATCGCTGGAGGCAAATAACCGAGAGGGGTGACAAGGTGGATACCAGACGAGACTCTGATGTTCGCAATTCGAATATAGGATAGTTCGCTGTGGCAGCTGCGTTTGGTGGTCCGAACCAAATAACTATCAACAACGGAGACCATGTCAAAAAATCGCTTGCAAAATACTCAAGGGGGCGTAGTAAACACAAGTGGGTTTTTTGCGATCTGTTATTGGCCCTAATACTTTTGATTTACAATCCATCCCCGACAGAAGGGTACTTGAATATATGTTGTCCTGATTTGGCAGTGGTTAGCAAAGTACTGCCTTATATGTCGTGTTCGGCTCAACTCTCCTCTCTGCCCACAACACCCTCTGCGATTGCTGATACACGATGTTTGATCGATTTAAGTTTTCTAAGAGAGGACATTCTCCTGCACCTCCCGGTAGCCCTTCGCGACCCTCGACATCCGTTCCCAGCCCCCAGATCACTACTTCTCCCACTGAAAGCGATCCAACAACTAGCACAGATTGCGGTGGATTTGATAGATCCCGTCTTGAGCCTCTTACTACTACTGGTGGTAGTTCTCGAGGCCAGAAGCAGCGGTGGTCTGTTCGGCACGCTATAGATCAGCTGTTCAACAGAAATCCCAGCCCCGATCCCACTCATATCGACCAATCGAACTCCCCCGATCCCATACAATCTGACCCCTCGGTGCCCGATCTGCCATCCCCAACCGTCCCTGCTGGTGACGGAAAGAAAACAATCATCGCCGCCACAAGGCTCGTCCTTCAAACCGCCGCCTCTGCCCTTAAGTTCGTCCCTATTCCAAACCTCGACCAGATACCAAGTATACTTTTGACGTGGCTCCAAGTTTACGAGGTTCGCAGGTGTTGTGATTTTGCAATCTAATGAAATGACCTCCATGGTTTCCTGCAGACGATCGACGACAACGACGAAAATCTCAAGGGATTAGACAATGAAGTTCGAAAGGCTCACGAAACGATTTTCAGGCCTCTCCAGTTGTGGACTGGCCAAGTTCCTCTCGAAATAAGTGATCTGATTCAACAATTTAACTTGTATGTGCATTCAATTCATCATTCTCTCGCCCAAATCTTAACCCTCGGTCACAGAGCTCTAAAACAACAATTAAAGCAAATCGAGGCACTCAAACGTCAAAAGCTTGCCAAGAGGGTAATTTTAGCGACTGAAATAACCCAGGAAATAAGCACCGTACAGTCGTGCATCCGTGATGCTATCTCCCGCTTTTCGGTTCGTCTCGTCTACATTCAGGCCATTAGAAGATTGACTGGGGGATTCTCCATAGACTGCTGCGACAACTCTGAATCTCCTTCACACGATTCGGTTGTCGGTGGACTGTTTGTTGTTCTCCATTGATTTCACCGTTTGGAATTTAATGAACATTTCAGATGAACTCTCAAAACTCCACAAAGCAAATGCGGGATATCTTGCCATGAAAAGCAAGTTGGAGTGCCTGAAAAGTACGCATGTCCAGATCCAGAAATCGATACTCGATCATTTGGAGAATCGGAAGCACCGATTTGTCTGGCTTCGCGGCTCTCCGGGTACGGGAAAGACTGCTATATCAATGAGTGTTGCCTCGGCTCTTAACAAGCAGGGTCGCTTGGCGGCATCTTTCTTCTGGGACAAAAATCGTCAGGGAGAAGGACTTGCTTCAATTGAACACTTTCCCTCCACTCTCGCACGTCAGCTTGCGTTGTTTAACGCCGAGTATGAAGGTCTTCTTGTTAGTCAACTTCGACAGTCCCCGGCACTGGAAGACCTCCGACTAGAGGAGCAGATGGGATCTTTGATTGTCGATCTCATACACAAGCTCTTTCCTTTGCATGGGGAGCGTCCCGTCATCATCTTGGATGGTTTGGACGAGTGTGGGGCTCAGGAGGAACTTGAGTCCTTAATGAATCTAGTACTTGTCCTCGATGAGCTGCCAGCCACATTTGCCATGTTGGTCAGCTGTTGGCCGGAGTCATCCATTGTATCGGCATGGGAAAGAGCTCGGGCTCAGGGTCTTGCCATACCATGTGCAGATGTGGACATCGTCGCTGAGGAAGAGAAGTTCCATACTGTCCACCGCATGGTGGAGCAAGGCCTCCGGAGTTGTGTCAATAAGTCTTTCTGGAAACCGTCAACAAAGGATATCGATATATTTTCCACAGCCTGTCATGGATTGCCCATTATCGCCTCAATCCGAGTCCGGGATGTCAGTATTCGAACTCGTCGTGGTACAACCCTTCGATCCGAGTTCAAATACTTCCGTGACCTCATCGATGCCCCTGCTGATGTCAATTTGGAGTACCTGCGCATACTTCGCCGTGCCTATATATTTGACTCATCTGGAGTTCCTCCACATATAGCGGAGAACTATCGCCAAGTGGTTGCCACAATCAATGTGGCATTTGAGCCACTGAGTGTGTTTTCCATGTCACAGCTATTAGGAATTGCCGAGGAAGAGGTCTTAGCCATATTGGATCCAATTCGCTCAATTGTTGACCTTTCTTCGACAAATAGCTTGGACAGTGGTTTGGACGGTGGCTCGGACGGTGGCTTGGAAAGTTCCTCGAATGACATGCAGGGCATCAAATTCTATCATGCAACGATGAAAGAGTTTATAACGGGGGATCCGATTGGTGATGAAAACGACAAAGTATTCTTTATCAAGAACGTGAATAAGTATTTCTTCGGACTACCACTCCTCCGATTTTTCAATAATAGTTGCGAGCAGGATGTGTTTGGGTTGCCCACTGTTCTCCCTTTAGGAGAAGAGGGGAAATGGAGCAATCTTCCTGAGAGAGAGCATCAGAGCCCTTATCGTCTTCGATATGCTCATCATCTCCGATATGCTCATGAATACTTATTAGAACACTTAGACCCCTCACAACTCTTTGCACTAGAGTCCAATTTGCAGAACGAGTTTAATATATTTCTCACGCAAAACTTGGTTACATATGTCCACCTGGCGTCCTATGATGAACAGCGCAAGGGATTCCCTCGTGGATTTGATGAATTCAAGGTAAATAAAATTGTTGTGTCACGATTATTTTGATATGACATCATTTTTAACAGAATTGCGATTCATTCAAACTTTTGAGAGAAGCTCAAGGAAAGCAATTTGTGTCGTATCTGAGCATTGCAGCTGCCTTGGAACCATGGCACCTCCATCGATCGACCCTTCCTTTCACCCCATCCTCATCACCTTTTCACAAACTGTATGGCCACCTTTCTGATCCTGTCCGGATCTTCACCATTTCCGGCGAGTTTACCGGGCACAGAATCCCATTGAGTGAGGATTTACTCAATGCTCGAATGGTCATGGAGGCGAAGCTGCATAATCTGCCGAAGAAGGCTGATAGTCGGGGTGTTTATGATGCCCAATTCAATGACCCTGATGTTCGTAACGGTATCGTGACATGTGCGGCGCTCTCCCTTGATGGTGGCCATGTAGCTCTTGGTTTTGGTAGCGGTGTCATCGAGCTTGCCGATATCGACCATCAGCACACAATTTCCCGATTCCAGCTCGATCCACCCAACCATCCAGTCTGGATCGAATTTGTCCATGGCAGCCACCGAGTTGCTGTCGAGGACAATGAGGGGAACGTCACCATCCTTAGCCACGATATGGCCCCTGTTAATATTGGTACTCTTCCCAACAATCCTCTTCCTGCTGTAACTCGAGTATCAGATAATGGATTATTTATCATACGGGTTCCACAGAACACTGATAGCTCTTGGTACGACAGCATGACTCTCATATCCATTTCGGGTGACCCACACATGCAGCACCTTGCACCTCCTTCTTCCAATAATTTCACTCCAACTTCCAACCCTCCTATCTTAGCCTCCAAGTCTTCTACTAGGTCCTCTGCATCCCCAGTGATTCCTCACCATCGCACGCTTGGGTTTTCTCCGGGAGCACATTATATCGGCGCTTTCGATGGCCTCAGTGCTTTCACCTGGTCGACAGGTTTGGGTGAGCTCATTGCGAGTTATCGTGTGACAGATTTCGAATTTTGGATCATGAATCCTGCTATTCCCCTCGCCCGCTCTTATCGCACCCCTGATCCTGTATCCACTCAGCCTACCCTTTCCTTGACAGAAGGTGAAGCAGCAGATATACATCATCCCAAAACACATGCAGGGCATAACTTGGACGAATCCTGGATCAAGTGCCCATTTTATGTTGTCTTGCAACGTGGGGGTAGGAGGTTTGAAGTCCATTCATCCGCTGCCGGAAGAACCCCGCTTTTCGGAACTGTTGGCCCCGCTGGGCTACCAGTGTTCTTCGATGGCAAATTAGAATTCATTATTCCCAAGGAGTATCGCCCAGTTGTCTTTTCTGGTGCCGAAGGTTCAGGCGTTTGGTATGGTGAACGAGTGCCATCTGATCCTACCTATCTGTACAGCCCTCGGTCCAGCAAAGATGGGACTCGAATTCTCTCCCAAGGCCAACAGACAGCTCCAATTGTCGTTGATCTTAGTCAGGTCCTTTAGGATATTTGTGGTCAATTGCAATATCTTCCTATTTACCTTCCGCGTTCTGTCCACTATCAGAGGGGGAATTGCGAAGTTTCGCTAGGTCGCCCTTTCAGCTTTCTGGACTTCCCTCGGACGAGGTTCCCTTTCCCTATGGTACAGTGGGAATACGGGCTCGGAAACTTCAACGGATCTATGACCATTCCTTCCTTGCACTGTCGTTTAGTCCCGGGTCGGACAACATGAATGCTCGCCAGCATTTATGACCACAGACTTTTTGCTTTTGCGCTTTCCATAGTTCCTTGATTCGCTTTTCACTCCGCATCAGAAGAATGAAGGTATATATCTATCTGTCCATTTGAGCCAACCTGCACCGCTAAAAGGCTTGACCGAAGTGGATCACCTTGAACGTATTAAAAAAATCGGTATTTCTTTTGCCAATTTCCACCGTTTCACCCGGTGTTCATCCATAATGTGACAAAGAACCAACGTTGTATAAATGATAGATATGCGCGTGTGCGAGCGTTTAGTGCTACAAGATACTAATCGGGACAAAGGTGAACGATTTTTTCGCATCGCGTTAAATAAAGCCAATGTATGGGCAAATCCGTCCCAACTTAGCCCATGGACTTATGAGACTCGAAGAGTACCTCGTTCCACCCCGGCTTGATTGCACCGAAACCTGTGGCCAGCAAAAGCTGCAGGATTTGTGCTGCATTCGGATCAGTCCCAAGACCAATGCACAAAGAAATGGGATAGGTATCCTTAAGCCCTCCCACTCGGTAGCAGTTCTCGGTGACTTCATCCCAGAATCATGCTTGCCAGGAAAGAGCGACTTTTTATCCAACTGTTTATTGTGTTCAGAACCTGACACATCAACGTACCAGCATCAGCCAGGGGTGGTCATTGAGCCATATACTCCATCTGACCCCCGCATACAGAATAACACATCTGCACAATTTAGAATAAAGTTATAGAAGGTGAGCAGCCAGGGTCCAATATATGCAACTGGAAGGGCACAGTTTTCCCGCAAGTTATAAGCTCATCCCATATTGGCGTCTCTGATTTATTGAGGTGCTGATCATGCTATCGCAGCATACAATCCTCCAAACTCCAATGCCGTGTGTTCAACTCGACGTGCCTGATTTCGACCCATCGTGGCCAGCCAAATCTCCACTGGCGCCTGTAGGCTCTTATCGTTGCCCTTGCTGTGAATGTCTCGTATGCATGTGTGGCATGCCCACCAGGCATTGGGCAATGCAGCACAAGCCATCTCGGCTGTACTTGTGAAGTGAGAGTGGCAGGTCGCGACTCTGACTGTGCATCGACTAGGATCCATCTGTTAAGGGTTGCGGCGGTAAGCTGCAATCGTCCGAATCCTGAGCGTTCGTCGTAGGTGAACGTTTCATGCATGGATCCAAATGGGGAGAACTGGATGACGGCATAAGGGATCATGAGGGATAGCGCAGGGAGGCCGAGGACGGAAAAATTAAACGTCAATGTGCTGACGGCGGTTGGCCCACGGCTAGCAGAGGAGTCAAAGGTATTGGACAATGAGGGCTTTTTTGCCACTAGATTCTTCCGCGATATCTTGAATCGTGGGATACCAACTGGATATGGGAGTGCTAGAATCAGAGTCCATAGTGGGCGGAAGGTCCAGTTGATATGTTGCTTGTCATTAAGATCAGAATGTTCAGTACTTTCATGATCCTTCGCTGAATAACTTGGATGTATCGAACGTTCGCGACGAGGGCGCCAAGCGTCGCCTGAACCCTTGTAATGGATGAGATATGCCTTTTGACCCAAAGCGAAGACACCACCTGCAATGGCAACACAATCTCTCGTTGCATTGTCTCGATGGTCACCGAATGCCTGATACCTACAACATAAAAGGCTCGAATTGAGAAGAGGGTGAAGCATAGCGTAGCGACATACCATGTCCAGCCAGTAGGAAATGATGCGCCCCAGTTCTTTTCCATATGTGCCACCCCTGTGCCTCCAAAGACTTCTAATCCCACCCCATCGGTGTCGATATGCTTCACGTCATAATTTGCCTTCGATCCGGTTGAGAAAATTGCCCAATGCAATGGAAGTAAAGTTTCCAATCTTGAAAGGGCCATGCTGTGCGGAGTACTCAGTAGAGGGTGCTCCTGCGATAATGGAACACAATCCGTTATGTCTATGGACACTTTCCAGTGCTCGGAAGAGCTTTCTCCGCATGGGACGGTGAGATTATAACGTTGGGTCTTTGGCTCCACAGTGAAGCTTCCAATATTAGGTATGTTCAAAGTATATGGTTGCAAACCTGTCTCTGAATCGGGCGGGGAGTCCACGATATGTTGAAGCTCATCAGGAAATAAGTGGAACTCGAGCGGCTCGATAGTAGACGAGTCACCAATAGGTGTTACTGAGAAATGGAAATAGTGCTTCCGAGGAGTACCTGATGGCGTCGAGTCTCCAAGAGAGCAAAAAATCAGGATGATGGAGAGTCCCGCCGATTCGTCTTGTATCCGAGTATACCAGCCCTCGAAACCGACATACGAAGGGTGAGGGGCATACTGATCCTTTTGCACCAAAAGGCGCGTCGATAACCATCGCGGAAACAATAGGTCGGCTGCTGTTGCAGAAAATCCCCAAAAAGAACGGGGTACGGCAACCATGCGAGTCGTTCAGCGACAGGTGCCAATTTCCTATTTCCATTGTGCAACCACCTGCCAATTCATTCGGAGGTTGCCAGCTATGGGCACGGCTTACATCCTAGAAGAACCCTTGTATCTTCTACAGTACATCCGAGGAGGGATGTAAAATCCGTGGGATATAGAGACTTCTCAGATTTAGACTACGACACAAACAACCGTACATACACGGCTCTTGAGCTTGGTTTCCAACATGTCAAGGACGTTCCCTAACTTCTTGCCATATACCAATGCTTTAGCTAAGTGCCCGATGTCTCAAGGAGCTGCCTCAATGTGATTTCCGAACATCGCGGGTCATCATGCGATATGTGCCACGATTGAACGTGGCGCGAGTGAAATGCCAGTGGCGAACCAATGGTGAGAGACACAACCGCTTCGGCTCATCAACGGGATCAACTAATGTGGCCATTCAGGGGGGGTTCATGTAGTAGTTGGCCCCTTTAGTGCCGCAAGAACGCGTAGCTAAACGTGCTTTCATCCACTTGCGCTTGCTCCAACCGATCGCTCAGTGAACAGCGAAACAAAAACGTTAGACTAAAAGGCATCAAAGACAAGCGGGCCATTTCTAGGCGCTATTTCCTGCGCCTTTAGTATTGGGCTCTACCCTTCGTAGGATCCACAATTTCAGTGGGCTCGTTGCTGTCCAATTCTTTGCTTCATAAATTTGAACAAACTGGCTCACACCCTTGGTACGTAGCTCCGACTCCGACTGGCCTATTCCATTGTCTGACCGACTGCCTTTGGTCGTGCAGTGAATATACCATCTCGGTACTAAAAAGGCTGTCTATGCGTCACTGCTGCCACGCTGGGGGCCGGGGCCCGAACTGACGTTATCTCGACTCCTACCTCCCCCGATCAACTGCTCTGGTTGACTAGTTACGTAAATCAGTGCAAGCGCCGCGCGAATTGTGTTTACGCAGCATGGAGTGCACAGTTACTGCAAAGTGGGTGCGGTAATCTAGAACTTATCGCCAGGGACAATCCACTTGGAAGCCCGACTGGAAAGGGCTTTGGAAACATATGATAGATATCTGGGTTCGCTGATATACTTGATTGCCGAGTAATCACTTCCGTTAGTACCTTATTCGTGAATTGGCTATACGCCGCCCTGCGATCTCTGCAACAGCTGCCGCAAACACCGCATCAGCGCTTGAGCGAAGGTTATAAAGACTCGAGGACAGTAACGCGAGGTGCGTCACATTCTATCACACGCAGCGGTGAAGGGATTCATAATGCTCAGGGTATCCAACTGGTTGTGAAAATGACTTCCTCGGACTGCCGTTCCTTCGAGTTGTCAACAATAATGAGCCAGATGTATTTGGGATGCCCACTACTCTCATTTTAGGAGACGAACGTTCATTTACATCATGTGGGTGATATCCAGCATAAGTGCTTTAACGATGCTGATGTCATTTTCTGTTAGAATTGCAGTTCATTCGAGCTACGAGAGAAGCTCAATGGAAGAATCGCGCATAATTCCAATTTCGGAACAGTCATCTTCAACTACCAAACCGTTGTTTGCTTTCACCCCATCCTCATCAGCTTTTTACGAACTGTACGGTCATCTCTGATCCTGTCCGGGTCTTCGCCACTTCTGGCGATTATTCTGGACATGCAAATCCCGTTGAGTGAGAATTGACTCAATGCCCGAACGGTCATGGAAGCAAAGTTGCCAAAGAAGGTTGACAGATGGGGCGGTGACGCGACCAATTACGAAGCCCAATTCCCACTACTCTGTAGCGGGTCTTGAATGCGTGAACTGAATGCCCGTGCAAGAGGTCCTCTATTATTGCAAATTAGCAAATTACCTGGCTAACCCAGGGTCCATCACTTGTATTCCAAAATCAAGCTAAGTTCCCGCATTTGGTTTGTAAGTAGTTGTGCAACCTGGTGTCAAGGGCCCCTTCCGATTCACGTGCCCTTTCAACTCCCATCTCCATCTTTCACAGCTGCCACCATCACAATCGAACGCGTTTTGAAAAACCACGCTCTACACCCTCTCAGACTCGTTAACTGCCCTTCAACCTCGCGATAACCAACGGCTATGAACCGTAGCTCCAGACAGACACCAGGAAATGAACACAAACCCCCAATCGGGGCAGCCCTGACCCGATCCCCCTGCTGGCAACAGACGACAGTCGCACCCACCTTCAATCAACATACAACGACGCATCCGATTGCCTTTGCAGAAAGGAGTTCTTCACCAATGTCTCCGAGCCCAGAAATGCAAGATGACAACAGGGATGAACAAGTCAAACCTTCCGCAGCCACCTTCTCCCTCGTCCCCCAACCCTCCGGCTGTCAACCTCGATCATAAACATACCGCCATCACATGGTACTCCGTCACGAAAGGTGCGTGCCTTATTGAAGGCAGCGTCATTCAATGTCCCTGTACCCAGCGAACTCTGTGGGACAGCTTACAAAATAGCCTGGAGTGTCGCAGACAAGGAAATCACGCCTATTGTCCAAGCAGCCATCCAAGTTGGCTACCACCCTGCTCCATTCCACGACTGCATAAACCTAATAAGGCAGACTACACTCACCCCCGCTCCTACAGACCTATACAGCTCCTAGAGGTCCATCGTTGCTATCCGGCTTTCATACTATGCCAGCCAACATGAACTCCTTCCGGTCACCCAATTCGGAGGAATGAGAGGGAGATCGATCTGCAGAAGACAACACCCTCTCAGCCATCCACGAGATGAAACTTACAGCTACTTCACTCGCTTTTGACATAACAGGTTTCTTTGATCTTGTCTCGCACCCACATCTGCTCAACACTTTGCCCGATAAAAATCCTACAGTCAGATGGGTGGCTTCCTTCCTCAGCGACTGCCACATTGCCCTCATCCCAGCCGCATATTTCTCTGCCCCTCTGATCGTGACATCCTTTGTGTCTGTAATGCTGTATTCCACGTTGACAACGGTGAAAAACCATTTGAGAAACATCCATTTTGCCCCTGAATTGTCTCTGTTGTACGCATCCAAATACATATCTTAGCGAGTGAAAAGAGTGGCGGGTTCTGCCGCGTCAGGCGGCGATCACCAGTTATTCAATGATCCCGATGTTCGCAATGGTGTTGTGACATGTGCGGCACTTCTCCCCCATTGATGGTCGCTATGTAGCCCTGATGTTTGGTAACGGTATCATTGAGCTCATCGACGTCGACCAGAGTCAGCCCACCATTTCCCGATTCCAGCCCGATCCACACAACTACCCCGCCCCATTGAATTTTCCCATGGGGGCAACTCTCGTTACCGAGGAAAACGAGGAAAACGTCAGTCCTTATCCATGGTAGAACCCCCGTAAATCTTGATATCAATGGCCCCTTCCCTACGTATATTGATACTTTAGTGTCGGATAATGGATCATTTGTCGGACGAGTTCCACGCAAGCCTTGGTATGACGAAATCCAACTCTTGGATTATGAATCCCACAGTCCAACCCCTTGCTCATGTCTCATATATTCCTGATCCCGTGTCTCACTGAAAGACATTGCGACAGACACACATCAATCCGAATTAGTGGACGCAGAGTAGGTCAAGCATACATGACCCGACGTCTATTCACCTATTCCCGGAAGAATCCCGCTATTGTGCACTGGAAACGTGAGTGAGGAGCCACTGATATGGTCCAACTGCAGAACAGACTTCTGTGCCGCGATGGTCTTAGGGTGCGTGGCGACAACCGTCTGAGAGCTTGGTGTGGTAATCGAGCGCCGTTTGATGCTATGAATCTCTACCGCCTTCCATCCAGCAAGGATGGAACTGCAAGGCCGGATGACGGCTCCAATTGTTGTCGATATCAGTAAAGTCATCTAGGTCGTTGTCACCCTTAGCCATGGTATCGTCCCCGTGAGTCTTGATACTCTCCCCAACGGCCCCTTCGTGCCGGAACATTGATGTCAGAGGCCTTGGTACGACAACATGTCGGCAACATGACGCCTATACCGATGACCCGCACGTTTCCCCTCTCCTTCTGACCCTTCCACTCCATCCTTCCACCCAAATCCTTTGCTAGCAATTCCTCGTCGTCGCCCGCCTGGGTTCCCTTCCGGAGCATGGTATTTTGGCACTTTCGATGGTGTCAACGCTTTCACTCAGTCGACCGAGTCGGGCGAGGTGCCTTACAGCGTTACGAATGTCAGTTCTTGATTTATGAATCTACTACTTGCTCATATCTCATCCCTGCTCCCGTATCCCTCGTCCCTGGTGATCCGGCAGACATGCACCTTTCTGAACCGGATATATGCGTGACTCGGATGCATCCCATTTGCGGCCTCCCACCAAGCACGCACGAAGACCTCGGCGTCAATTCGTCTGTTGCAGGGAGAATCCCCATTGCTCTGGATGGGAAACATAAGCGAGGGGGCACCAATATGGTTTGACGGCAGAACAGAGTCCACTGTCTCCATGCCGTACCCGCCGGTTAACTTCAGGATGGGTTACATCAACCATCCAGGTGCCTCGTATGGTGATCAAGTGTTGTTTGATGCTAAATCACTAGCACTTTTGGTCGAGCAAGGGGGCGAGTCGACTTCTCAAAGACCGGATGACGACTCCAATTGTCGTCAAAATTAGCAAGTCGTTTAGGATGGGTCGGGGGTCATTGCGATTCTTTCTTCTCCACTTGTTAGTCGCCTAGTTCGAGCGTTTTTCTGTCACTACGTTATACATTGTCCTCTGATTTGTACATCATTGCGCTTGACATTTTATAATATTAATGATAACGAGTTAGTTGTGAATGGCAGGTGAAGGGGGAAACAACATCCTCTTGCTCTGAAGTCGAATGGCGAAGCGCCACCACCCCGAACAAGGATCATATATCCACTTGCCTGGATTAGTTGAGCCAAGCGTACTTCCGGCATTGGTTGCTGCACTCATGGAATCCCCATCCGACATCCACCTACGGCCCATTGCTCCTACGATACTGGCAGAGATATTGTCACTGAGGGTGCTTGCGAGTCCGAGGAGCCGCATTCCCATCCCCTTTATTTGACCCTCTGTAAGGCCAAATGCCTCTCAACCTTGCCGGCGATGTTCGATGCTCTGGATAGATTCAGACAGTAATAGAAAGTGTCAAACCTCTCTCCCCCACCAGGTTGGAAGCAGAGCCGGTTGGCGAAAGAAGAGGAGACAAATCACCTTTCGAGCATTGGGGCGACGCTTTCCAGTCGGTGGCTCTGAGGGAAGAAGCGGGAGAGCTAGTACTGACGTGAAGGGATGAACGGATCGCTTAGCGTGTTAAAGAGTAACAACCCGGTGGAGCTATGTTGGCGCATCACGCGGACGGTGGAGTGACATGAGCAGAAGAAATGATTGCCGTCTGAGAGTATAGAGCCTGATTGAGATACTCTGTACGGATGGGACTTCGTCATCACTCCAAGTATTAACACCCATTCTCAAGGATAGTAGCACTTGATATGTGGGGAAGACTAGGTAAATTCATGTGTTAGAACGACAGCGAAATAGGATACCTCCGCTACTTGGATACCCGGAGGTGCGAGGCCACCAATTAGAGTTGAGGGAAGCGGACACCGCAGAAAGGAATCCAACAGTAATAGCGCAAGATTGGAATATTGATATTTTTTGCATCAGTTCTATTACTGGTCAGTGGGCCGACAAAAATAGTGGATGCCTCGCCTGGTAAGTAATTGCTGCTGAAATTTCGTCTAGGTTTGTGTCGCCATTAACACAAAGCCATCCAGTCAGACACAGCCCACCATCAATGGCTTGGATCCCTATACGAGGAGCTGGGAAGTCATCTAGTGCTGTTTGGGGATGACTCAGAGCATTGGAATCGAAGCAACCGGGCTGAAGCATATTGCTAGATGGCAGCGGAGAGGGAACAACTGACAAGGTGGACAACAGACGAGACCCTGATGTTTGTGTGTGCAATCAGTTTAATATTCGCGTATAGGACAGTTCGCTGTGGCAGGCAACACAAGGCTGCGTGTGGTCCGAACCAAATAACTATCAACGACAGCGACAATGTTAAAAAATTACTTACAAGGGAACGTAGTAGGGAACGTAGTAAACACAAGTGGTTTTTTTGGTTTTCGCTATCGGCCCCAGGTAGCGTAGTTAACATTCCATCGCCGACAGAAGGGTATTTCAATATTTGTTGTCCTGCATTGGCAGTGGTTAGGACAGTACTGCCTTATATGTCGATGTGTGGTTGAGGGCGGTTCAACACTCTCGTCTCCGCCCACAACACTCTCTGTGATTGCTGATACACGATGTTTGATCGATTTAAGTTTTCTAACAGAGGACACTCTCCTGCGCCTCCCGGTGGCTCTTCGCGACCCTCGACCTCTGTTCCTAGCCTTCAGATCACTACTTCTCCCACTGAAAGCGTTGCAACAACTAGCACAGATCGCGGTGGATCTGATAGATCCGGTCTTAAGCCTCTGACTACTACCGGCGGTAGTTCTCGAGGCCGGAAGCAGCGGTGGCCTATTCGGCACACTATAGCTAAGCTGTTGAGCAGAAATCCCGGTCCCGATCCCACTGATATCGACCAATCGAAGCCCTCCGATCACAGACAATCTCCCCCTTCTACGCCTGACCCACCACCCCCTAGTCTATCGCCATCTCCCGTTCTCCTTGGGGGGCCATCGATATCCCTCACATGATGCCCCACGGGCCCATCATCCATAGCAACACTGAGACACCCCACCCACCACCAGGACGCACAGGCGTGAACTTAGATGCCTCATCGTCAACAGATCGGACACCGTCATCTTCAGCTGTCCCTGCTGGTGACGGAAAGAAAACAATCATCGCCGCCACAAAGCTCGTCCTTCAAACTGCCGCCTCTGCCCTTAAGTTCGCCCCTATTCCAAACGTCGATCAGATACCAAATATACTTCTGAAATGGCTCCAAGTTTACGAGGTTCGCAGGTGTTGTTGCAATTTTGCGATTTAATGATATAACCTCCATGTTTTCATGCAGACCATCGACGACAACGACGAAAATCTCAAGGGATTAGACGATGAAGTTCGAAAGGCTCATGAAACGATTTTCAGGCCAGTCCAGTTGTGGACTGGCCAAGTTCCTCTCGAAATAAGTGAACTGATTGAACGATTTAACTCGTATGTGCATTCATTCATTGTTCTCTCGCCCAAATCTTGACCCTCGGTCACAGAGCTCTAAAACAACAATTAAAGGAAATAGAGGCACTCAAACGTCAAAAGCTTGCCAAGAGGGTAATTTTAGCGACTGAGATAACGCAAGAAATAAGCGCCGTACAGTCGTGCATCCGTGATGCTATCTCCCACTTTTCGGTTCGTCTCGTCTACGTTCAAGCCATTAGAAGATTGACCGGGCGATTCTCCATAGGCTGCTGCGACAACTCTAAGTCTCCTTCACACAATTCGGGTATCGGTGGACTGTTTGTTGTTCTCCATTGATTTCACCGTTTGGAATTTAATGAACATTTCAGATGAACTCTCAAAACTCCACAAAGCAAATGCGGGATATCTTGCCGTGAAAAGCAAGTCGGAGTGCCTGGAAAGTACGCGTGTCCAGATACAGAAATCGATACTCGATCATTTGGAGAACCGGAAGCACCGATTTGTCTGGCTTCGCGGCTCTCCGGGTACGGGAAAGACTGCTATATCGATGAGTGTTGCCTCGGCTCTTAACAAACAGGGTCGCTTGGCGGCATCTTTCTTCTGGGACAAAAATCGTCAGGGAGAAGGACTTGCTTCGATTGAACACTTTCCCTCCACTCTCGCACGTCAGCTTGCCTTGTTTAATGCCGAGTATGAAGGTCTTCTTGTCAGTCAACTTCGACAGTCCCCGGCACTGAAGGACCTCCGACTGGAGGAGCAGATGGGATCTCTGATTGTCGATCTCATACACAAACTCTTATCTTTGCGTGGGGAGCGTTCCGTCATCATCTTGGATGGATTGGACGAGTGTGGGGCTCAGGAGGAACTTGAGTCCTTAATGAATCTAGTACTTATCCTCGATGAGCTGCCAGCCACATTTGCCGTGTTGGTCAGCTGTCGGCCGGAGTCATCCGTTGTATCGGCATGGGAAGGAGCTCGGGCTCAGGGTCTTGCCATACCGTGTGCAGATGTGGACATCGTCCCTGAGGAAGAGAAGTTCCATACTATCCGCCGCATGGTGGAGCAAGGCCTCCGGAGTTGTGTCAATAAGTCTTTCTGGAAACCGTCAACAAAGGATATCGATATATTTTCCACAGCCTGTCGTGGATTGCCAATTATCGCCTCAATCCGAGTCCGGGATGTCAGTATTCAAACTCGTCGTGGTGCAACCCTTCGATCCGAGTTCAAATACTTCCGTGACCTCATCGATGCCCCTGTTGACGTCAATTTGGAGTACCTGCGCATACTTCGCCGTGCCTATACATTTGACTCATCTGGAGTTCCTCCACATATAGCGGAGAACTATCGCCAAGTGGTTGCCACAATCAATGTGGCGTTTGAGCCACTGAGTGTGTTTTCCATGTCACAGCTATTAGGAATTGCCGAGGAAGAGGTCTTAGCCATATTAGATCCAATTCGCTCAATTGTTGACCTTTCTTTGACAAATGGCTTGGAAAGTTTCTCAAAGGACATGCAGGGTATCAAATTCTATCATGCAACGATGAAAGAGTTTATAATGGGGAATCCGATTGGTAACGAGAATGACAAAGTATTCTTTATCAGGGATGCTAATAAGTATTTCCTCGGACTGCCACTCCTCCGATTTTTCAATAATAGTTGCGAGCAGGATGTGTTTGGGTTGCCCACTGTTCTCCCTTTAGGAGATGAGGGGAAATGGAGCAATCTTCCTAAGAGAGAACGTTTTCCCCCTTATCGTCTCCGATATGCTCATCATCTCCGATATGCTCGTGAATACTTATTAGAACACTTAGACCCCTCACAACTCTTTGCACTAGAGTCCAGTTTGCAGAACGAGTTTAATATATTTCTCACGCGAAACTTGGTTACATATGTCCACCTGGCGTCCTATGATGAACAGCGCAAGGGATTCCCTCGTGGATTTGATGAATTCAAGGTAAATAAAATTGTTGTGTCACGATTATTTTGATATGACGTCATTTTTAACAGGATTGCGATTCATTCAAACTTTTGAGAGAAGCTCAAGGAAAGCAATTTGTGTCGTATCTGAGTATTTCAGCTGCCTTGGAACCATGGCACCTCCATCGATCGACCCTTCCTTTCACCCCATCCTCATCACCTTTTCACAAATTGTATGGCCACCTCTCCGATCCCGTCTGGATCTTCACCATTTCTGGCGAGTTTACCGGGTACAGAATCCCATTGAGTGAGGATTTACTCAATGCTCGAATGGTCATGGAGGCGAAGCTGCATAATCTGCCGAAGAAGGCTGATAGTCGGGGTGTTTATGATGCCCAATTCAATGACCCAGATGTTCGTAACGGTATCGTGACATGTGCGGCACTCTCCCTTGATGGTGGCCATGTAGCTCTTGGTTTTGGTAGTGGTGTCATCGAGCTTGCCGATATCGACCATCAGCACACAATTTCCCGATTCCAGCTCGATCCACCCAACCATCCAGTCTGGATCGAATTTGTCCATGGCAGCCACCGAGTTGCTGTCGAGGACAATGAGGGGAACGTCACCATCCTTAGCCATGATATGGCCCCTGTTAATATTGGTACTCTTCCCAACAATCCTCTTCCTGCTGTAACTCGAGTATCAGATAATGGATTATTTATCATACGGGTTCCACAGAACACTGATAGCTCTTGGTACGACAGCATGACTCTCATATCCATTTCGGGTGACCCGCACATGCAGCACCTTGCACCTCCTTCTTCCAATAATTTCACTCCAACTTCCAACCCTCCTATCTTAGCCTCCAAGTCTTCTACTAGGTCCTCTGCATCCCCAGTGATTCCTCACCGTCGCACGCTTGGGTTTTCTCCGGGAGCACATTATATCGGCGCTTTCGATGGCCTCAGTGCTTTCACCTGGTCGACAGGTTCGGGTGAGCTCATTGCGAGTTATCGTGTGACAGATTTCGAATTTTGGATCATGAATCCTGCTGTTCCCCTCGCCCGCTCTTATCGCATCCCTGATCCTGTATCCACTCAGCCTACCCTTTCCTTGACAGAAGGTGAAGCAGCAGATATACATCATCCCAAAACACACGCAGGGCATAACTTGGACGAATCCTGGATCAAGTGCCCATTTTATGTTGTCTTGCAACGTGGGGATAGGAGGTTTGAAGTCCATTCATCCGCTGCCGGAAGAACCCCGCTTTTCGGAACTGTTGGCCCCGCTGGGCTACCAGTGTTCTTCGATGGCAAATTAGAATTCATTATTCCCAAGGAGTATCGCCCAGTTGTCTTTTCTGGTGCCGAAGGTTCAGGCGTTTGGTATGGTGAACGAGTGCCATCTGATCCTACCTATCTGTACAGCCCTCGGTCCAGCAAAGATGGGACTCGAATTCTCTCCCAAGGCCGACAGACAGCTCCAATTGTCGTTGATCTTAGTCAGGTCCTTTAGGATATTTGTGGTCAATTGCAATATCTTCCTATTTACCTTCCGTGTTCTGTCCACTATCAGAGGGGGAATTGCGAAGTTTCGCTAGGTCGCCCTTCCATCTTTCTGGACTTCCCTCGGACGAGGTTCCCTTTCCCTATGGTGCAGTGTGTATAAATACGGGCTTGGAGACTTCAACGGATCTATGACCATTCCTTCCTTGCACTGTCGTTTAGTCCCGGGTCGGACAACATGAATGCTCACCAGCGTTTACGACCACAGACTTTTTGATTTTGCGCTTTCCATAGTTCCTTCACTCCGCATCAGAAGAATGAAGGTATATATCTATCTGTCCATTTGAGCCAACCTGCACCGCTAAAAGGCTTGGCCGAAACGGATCACTTTGAACGTATTAAAAAAATCGGTATTTCTTTTGCCAATTTCCACCATTTCGCCCGGCGTTCATCCATAATGTGACAAAGAACCAACGTTGTATAAATGCTAGATATGCGGGTGTATGAGCGTTTAGTGCTACAAGATATAAGGACAAAAGTGGACGATTTTTTTACATCGCGTAAATAAAGCCAATGTATGGGCAACCCCATCCTTACTTAGCCCATGGACTTATGAGGCTCGAAGAGTACCTCATTCCACCTCGGCTTGATCGCGCTGAAACCTGTGGCCAGCGAAAGCTGCAGAATTTGTGTCGCATCCAGATTAATCCCAAGACCAGTGCGCAGATAAGTATCCTTAAACCCTCCACCCACGGTAGCAGTCCTCGATGACTTCATCCCAGAATCATGCACGCCAGGAAAGAGCAACGTTTTATCCAACTGTTTATTGTGATCTCGACGTATCAGCATCAACCTGGGGTGGCCATTGAGCCATATACTCCATCCGACCCCCGCATACAGAATAACACATCTGCACAATTTAGAATAAAGTTATAGAAGGTGAGCAGCCAGGGTCCAATATATGCAACTGGAAGGGCACAGTTTTCCGCAAGTTATAATAAACTCGTCTCATATTGGCGTCTTTGATTTATTGAGGCGCTGATCATGCTATCGCAGCATACAATCCTCCAAACTCCAATGCCGCGTGTTCAAACTCGACGTTCCTGATTTCGACCCATCGTGGCCAGCCAAATCTCCACTGGCGCCTGTAGGCTCTTATCGTTGCCCTTGCTGTGAATGACTCGTACTCACATGTGGCATGCCCACCAGGCATCGGGCAATGCAGCGCAAGCCACCTAGGCTGTACTTGTGAATTGAGAGTGGCAGGTCGCGACTCTGACTGTGCATCGATTAGGATCCGTCTGTTAAGGGTTGCGGCGCTAAGCTGCAATCGTCCGAATCCTGAGCGTTCATCGTATGTGAACGTTTCATGCATGGATCCAAACGGGGAGAACTGGATGACGGCATAAAGGATCATGAGGGATAACGCAGGGAGGCCGAAGACGGAGAAATTAAACGTCAATGTTGACCCACGGCCAGCAGAGGAGTCAAAAGTATTGAACAATGAGGGCTTTTTTGCCATTGGATCCTTCCGCGATATCTTGAATCGTGGGATACCAACGGGATACGGGAGTGCTAGAATCAGAGTCCATAGTGGGCGGAAGGTCCAGTTGATATGCTGCTTGTCATTAGGACCAGAATTTTCAGTACTTTCATGATCTTTCGCTGAATAACTTGGATGTATCGAACGTTCATAACGAGGGCGCCAGGCGTCGCCTGAATCCTTGTAATGGATGAGATATGCCTTTTGACCCAAAGCGAAGACACCACCCACAATGGCAACACAATCTCTCGTCGCATTGTCTCGATGGTCACCGAATGTCTGCGTGGGATCGTGCGAGGATGCGCCAAATGCCTGACACCTACAACACAAAAAAAAGCTCGAATTGAGAAGAGGGTAGTGAAGCACAACGTAGCGACGTGCCATGTCCAGCCAGTTGGAAACAATGCGCCCCAGTTCTTTTCCATATGTGCCACCCCATCGGTGCCGATATGCTTCACGTCGTAATCTGCCTTTGATCCGGTTGAGAAAATTGCCCAATGCAATGGAAGTAAAGTTTCCAGTCTTGAAAGGGTCATGCTGTGCGGAGTACTCAGTAGAGGGTGCTCCTGCGATAATGGAACACGATCCGTTATGTTTATGGACACTTTCCAGTGCTCGGAAGAGCTTTCTCCACATGGGACGGTGAGATTATAACGTTGGGTCTTTGGCTCCACGGTGAAGCTTCCAATATTAGGTATGTTCAAAGTATATGGTTGCAAACCTGTCTCTGAATCGGGCGGGGAGTCCACGATATGTTGAAGGTCATCAGGAAATAAGTGGAACTCGACCGGCTCGATAGTAGACGAGTCACCAATGGGCGTTACTGAGAAATGGAAATAGTGCTTCCTAGGAGTGCCTGATGGCGTCGAGTCTTCCAAGAGAGCAAAAAATCAGGATGATGGAAAGTCCCGCCGATTCGTCTTGTATCCGAGTATACCAGCCCTCGAAACCGACATACGAAGGGTGCAGGGCATACTGATCCTTGTGCGCCAAGAGGCACGTCGATAACCATCGCGGAAACAATAGGTCGGCTGTTGTTGCGGAAAGCTCTCAAAAGGAACGGGGTACGGCAACCATGCGAGTCGTTCAGCGACAGGTGTCAATTTCCTATTTCTATTGCGCAACCACCTGCCAATTCATTCGGAGGTTGCCAGCTATGGGCACGGCTCACATCCTAGAAGAACCCTTGTATCTTTTACTTGTCACCCAGTACATCCGAGGAGGGGCACTTGGCTATGTAAAATCCGTTGAATATCCGTAAGAGACTTTTCAGATTTAGGCTACGACACAAACAACCGTACATACATGGCTCTTGAGCTTGGTTTCCAACATGTCAAGCGCTCGAGGAGGTTCCCTAACTTCTCGCCATATACCAATGCCTTAGCTAAGTGCTCGATGTCTCAAGGAGCTACCTCAATGTGATTTCCGAACATCACGGGTCGTCATGCGGTATGTGCCACGATCGAACGTGGCGCGAGTGAAATGCCAGTGGCGAACCAATGATGAGAGACACAACCGCTTCGGCTCATCAACGTCAACGGGACCAACTAATGTGGCCATTCAGGGGGGTTTCCTGTAGTAGCTGGCCCCTTTAGCGTCACAAGAACGCTTGGCTAAACGTTCTTTCCTGGGCTTGCGCTTGCTCCAGCCGATCGCCTGAGTGAAACAGCGAAACAGAGATGTTAGACTAAAAGGCGCCGAAGACAAGCGGGCCATTCCTAGGCACTATTTCCTGCGCCTTTAGTATCGGGCTCTACCCTTGTAGGACCCACAATTTCAGTGGGCTCGTTGCTGTCCAATTCTTCGCTTCATAAATTTGAGGAAACTGGCTCACACCGTTGGTAGGTAGCTCCGACTCCGACTGGCCTAGTCCATTGTCTGACCGACTGCCTTTGGTCGTGCAGTGAATATACCATCTTGGTACTAAAATTCTGGACAAAAGGCTGTTTACACGTCACTGCCGCCAGGTTTGGGGCCGGGGGTTTGACACCTCCCGAACTGATGCTATCTCGACTCCTACCCCCCCCCCCCCCCCGATCTACTGCGCTGGTCGACTAGTTTCGTAAACCAGTGCAAGCGCCGCGCGAATTGTGTTTAAGCAGCATGGAGCGCACAGTTACTGCGAAGCTTAGTGGGTGTGGTAATCTAGAATCGACAACTCGTCGCTAGGGACGATCCACTTGGAAGCCCGACTGGAAAGGGCTTTTGCGCCGCTCACGGTGTGTATTAGGCAATCCATATATTGGATTCAGGATAGGTTCGAATTTGCGAGCGCCATTGGAAACATATGATAGATATCTGGGTTCGTTGATATACTTGATTGCCGAGTAATCACTCCGTTAGTACCTAATTCGTGAATTGGCTATACACTGCCCTATGATCTTTGCAATAGCTGCCGCAAGCACTGCATCAGCGCTTGAGCGAAGGTTATAAAGACTCGAGGACAGTGACGCGAAGTGCGTCACATTCTATCACACACAGCGGTGAAGGGATTCATAACGTTCAGGGTATCCAACTGGTTGTGAAAACGACTTCCTCGGACTGCCGCTCGTTCGGGTTGTCAAGAATAATGAGCCAGATGTATTTGGGATGCCCGCTACTCCCATTTCAGGAGATGAACGTTCATGAACATCATGTGGGTGATATCGTGCATAAGTACTTTAACGATGCTGATGTCATTTTCTGTTAGAATTGCGATTCATTCGAGCTCCAAGAGAAGCTTGAGAAGAATCGCGCATAATTCCGATTTCGGAATAGTCATCTTCAACTACCGAGCCGTTGTTTGCTTTCACCCCATCCTCATCACCTTTTTACGAACTGTACGGTCATCTCTCTGATCCTGTTCGAGTCTTCGCCATTTCTGGCGATTATTCTAGACACGCAAATCCCGTTGAGTGAGAATTTACTCAATGCTCGAACAGTCATGGAAGCAAAGTTGCCAAAGAAGGTTGACAGATGGGTTGGTGACGCGGCCAATTACGAAGCCTAATTCAATCATCGCAACAGTGTTGTGACATCATACATGTGCGGCACTTCTCCCCCGATGGTCGTCATGTAGCCCTCGATTTTGGTAACCGACATTGACCAACGCACTATTTCCCGATTCCAGCTCGATCCACCCAACTACTCTGCCCCATTGAATTTGCCCGTGGCAGCAACTGTCGTTACTGAGGATAACGAGGAAAACACCAGTCCTTGGCCATGGTAGGACCCCGCAAATCTCGGTATCAATGGCCCCTTCCCTACGTATATTGATACTTTAGTGTCGGATAATGGATCACTTGTGGGACGAGTTCCACGCAAGCCTTGGTGTGACGACATAACGCTCACATCGGCTTCAAACGATTTGCACGTTCAGCTCCCTCGCTTCCCCTCCTTCCCTCCCTTCTATTCCATCCTTCCGCTCACATCCCCTGTTGGCCAACCCTCATCGCCGCACGTTTGCGGTTCACAGAGTTGGTTGTGCGTCATCGTGTTACGAAATTCAGTTTTTGGATTATGAATCCCCCAGTCCAACCCCTTGCTCACATCTCATATATTCCTGATCCCGTGTCCACCCGACTCACTGAAGGACATGCGAAAGACATGCATCATTAATTCCGAATTAGTGGACGCAGAATAGGTCAAACATACATGAGGACCTCGGCGTCTATTCACCTGTTCCCGGAAGAATCCCGCTATTGTGCACCGGAAACGTGAGTGAGGATCCACTGATATGGTCCAACTCCAGAACAGAATTCTGTGCCGCGGTGATCTTAGGGTGCGTGGCGACAACCGTCTGAGAGCTTGGTATGGTAATCGAGCGTCGTTTGACGGCTCCATTGTCGTCGATATTAATAAAGTCGTCTAGGATGCCTTCGTGCCGGAACATTGATGTCAGAGTGTCAGGGCACACCCGCCTGACCCGGCTCCACCCGGCCCAACCTGGCCCGGTACCCCGCTGGCCCACCCTTCCTTACCTCCTCCCCCTTTTCCTTCTTCTCCCTCATCCTCCCCTCCTCAGTTCCTCCTTATCTTACTCCTTCTTTATTCTCCCTTTATTCCACATGGACGACTTTCTCTGTATCATTGTACAATTGACCCATCTGCAGCGCGCCCACCATGTACCCGGCCCGGGCACCTCGGGCGACCTCCCACTGTGCCCAGCATGCGCACCTGCACCGGATACCCTCGGGATCTCCCACGGAGACACCCGGGTGGTTACGGCTGTGTGCGAGGGTGACGTGGCACCCGTCATGTGATCCAAGCCGCATGTATATAAACGAACCTGAAGTGGGAACCGAAGAAGTAGCCTTCTTCTCAACCTTCCACTTCAGTCTAAGTGGCCAGGGACCACTGTCCCACATCGGGCCTGTCAGTACGCACGCCCGATCCGCCCCCCGCCAGGCTCTCGGTCCCGGACGCTATACCCGGACCCCCTCGACCCCGGACGAGTCCCTGACAGCAGAAGAAGGCTTCAACTTCATCTCCCCCGCCTCCCCTGCCTCTCCTGCCATGGTGACGGAAGAACAGTACGACGACCTCCTAGCCCGGTTCCAGGAACTGCAGGCTATTGTGGAGAACCAAGTCCTTAACCATCCCCCACCTGCTCCCGCGCCTGCACCCGCGCCTACCCCCGCACCCGCTCCCACACCCGCCCCCAGACCCAAACCACCTAAGGTCGCCCCCCCATGCCCTTCTCGGGAGCCAGTGAGGACCTGGACCGTTTCAAAGCCGAATGTGGAATCTACTTCCACGTCCGCGCGTCTGAGTTCCCCACCGCCCTCTCCCAGATTCTCTTCGTGTTGTCCTACATGAAGGGAGGGCCGGCAGGAGCATGGGCAACGCAACGCACGATCTCGCTGTTGACCGCAGGGTCTCCGGCACTCACCATGGACGAGTTCAACACGGAACTCGACGACATGTTCCAGGACCCAAATCGGGAAGCCACCGCCCGGCAGAAGCTGGCGGCCATCCGACAGGGGAGCGACTCCGTGGACAAGGTCATCCAGGAGTTCGAAATATTAGGGCCTGCCTCAAGACTGGGTGACGTAGGGCTGGTCGACCGCTTCGAGCAAGCGATCAATGCCCGGCTCCGCGAGAGCATTTACCGTCTCTGCCCTATGCCCACCACCTGGGCTGAATGGAAACGCGAGGCCACCCTCCTCGACAACCAGTGGCGACGTTTCCAGGCCACCCAACCACGAGCACCCCCACCTAGACCCCCACTCCCACCAACCAGACCCCCTCTAGCCACCACCCCCCCCTACGCGCGGCCCACACCCACCACTTCACGACCTACGCCCGCACCCGCACCCCCAACCCCCGCAACCCGTCCCACACCAGGAACAGGTCCACAGCCAATGGACCTCGACCGATCGAGGACTGACCAAAGACGGAAGGGGTTGTGCTACAATTGCAACGCCCCAGGCCATGTCGCACGAGAGTGCCCGCACCCTAAGGTCCACCGAGTCCGACGCCTGCATCCGGAGGACCTACGAGTGTTGATGGAAGGGCTGAAGAGGCAATTGGGTGAGGGACCAGAGGCAGAAGAGGGAGAGACGGGGCCAGACCCCCAGGAAGAGGATTTTCAGGAAGGCGACCGGTGAGGGATGCGCCCCGGCTGCCTGTAGAAGATAACCCGTGTAAATACCGCAACGTGCGCGAGTCAACGCCACTGCAGAAATTCCATCGAGTTATCGCAAAGAAAAAGAGGAAAAGCGCATCCTCTACCCACAGAAGTGAGAGACGCCCAGAGCTAACACCCGAAGTAGCGGTGTCTCCACCCGCCATTTACGTCCTTTCCAAACAATCCCCCAGGTCACTCAACCTCACGGTGACGTTGACCACCCTGACCTCTCTCGCCCCCGTATCAGTGTCAGCCCTCCTGGATTCAGGGGCCACCGGGAACTTCGTAAGCCCTGAGTTCGTCCGGAAGCACAGGCTCGAGACCACCCCACTCCCACAACCCATACCCGTCCGCAATGTCGATGGCACCCCGAACGAGAATGGGGCCATAACGGAAGAACTGGAAGCCCTCCTGACGTTCGGACGACATACAGAACGGGCCCGCTTTGCAGTTGCAAACCTGGGACGCCAATCCCTCATCATAGGGCACTCGTGGTTGCTGCATCACAACCCAGAGGTGGACTGGGCATGACAGAAGGTCGTCATGTCCCGCTGCCCATCCTCCTGCAGGGGGTCGCGAGTGGGAGACGACCAAGACCTCACGGTAGAGCCCGGGGACGGGATCTACGCTGCGATCCTCCCCCCAGGGTGGGGACATGACCTGAGAGCAACCACGACGCCATCCCAGCGGATGGCCCAGGAGGCCCACGACCTGGGGGCAGAGCCCGTG